TATATATCACTGTAAATATAAATGATAACATTCATGCCACTGACACAATAACCCATGAGCAGATTTAAACCACAAAATCTATTCTAAATGTACAATACTGTTAAAACAAAACAAAACATGAGGTACAATAAATGCAGAATGAAACACTTTAGTACTTAGTTTGCATCTGTAATGAGTTATAGAAATTATTAATTCAACTTTCAACAACTGAAATCTTAAAAACTTTTCAGTAGTGCAAATTAAATGTACACACAGTAAATACAGACCCACAAAAATAGATTGTTCCTTCTACTATATATTGAACGATAAGTCTGTATAATAATTAGCATGATGCTTTTCAAGTAGATGTATTTCAATATGCATACTATTTCAGGAGTTTGCTCGTTTTGTGTTGGTTTAATCTCAAGAACAGTTTTCTACAAGTATTAGTGTTGTGTAATTTATCACAGAGCTCTTGAAAATAATATGAACATCTTCAGAGCCCAGAAGACTAAAGTTTGTTAACACACAAAGATATTTACTGTTAGCCCTACAAATTGTTGGCAAATACTTAACCCACTGCATCACTTTTTGGTCTAAAAGTACTTGTAACTGATGTCCTTTTTGGTGTTTTAAAGGCAAAAAATACACGCACAATTGCAAAATAATTTAGCATAAATAAATGTCCTAGTTGATGGGGGCATGAAATCTACCCTGCTGTGATAAACAAGTTCTATCTGCATTGAAATTGAAGTGAAAAAAGTACTTTGTAAATGCATGAAGAGTCCTTGAATTATGCAGTTTATTAATAAGTGCCTTGTTTTGCAGTACTGTCAGATCTGTAAGAAGGGCGATAATGAGGACCTCTTGCTGCTGTGCGACGGCTGTGACAAGGGCTGCCACACCTACTGCCACAAACCCAAAATCACCACTATTCCTGAAGGGGACTGGTACTGCCCTGCATGCATATCCAAGGTACATTTATTCATCGGCTGCTTTCTCTTTTGTGTGTGTGTTTTTAGCAGTAAAACACCTGAATACAAGATACATATGTTTATTTTATTTTATTTTATTTATTTATTTATTTATTTTGGATACCCAGTCTTCCTGGGGTCCACACCAATGCCATGCTGTGGAACTTTCCAAGTAAACCAATCCATAGGTCCAGCATGATGAAGAATTTGGATTGATGCCATTAACAGTTAAAACTAAATGTCATATCTTTGCAATGGGGAAAAAGTCCTCAAAATATTGCATATAACAGGAAGCTGAAACACAAAACCTAATATATAACCCAGAAGTTACACAGTGCATCTTTAACTACTGTTTCAGCCATTTCATGCCACACAAAATTTATTCAATTGTTTGATAAATTAGCATGGTCATTTGTGGTTTAAACTGAATTGTATTAATATATTTCTCGTATCTAACAAGTAGGATTTTGAATGTTATCTTTTTCAGGCAAGCAGTCCCACACCTAAAAACAAAAAGCCTCAAAGCAAACCTGTAGCATCCACTGGCGGTAACAAAAAGGCAGAAGCAAAGAAGAACGGCAAACAGACTGGGAATGGTGAGGTGTCCGAGGACGACACGACCAGCGCCAACAGCACCCCCAAAAAGGGAGCGAAAGACAACAACAGGAAGAGGAAGACAGAGACAGAGAGCCCTCCAGTCCCGCCAGCAGTCAGTCAGGAGAGCCCCGCCAGTGTCAAACGGGCCAAGACCGCCAGGGACAACAACCGGGACCTGGGGCTGTGCAGGTAACTAGAGTCCACTAGTGTAACTGGGAAAATGGGCGGGCTTTAAACAAATGTATTCTCTTTAGGAAGTTATGCCAGAAAATTCAATACAGTATTTAATCTAGTGAACTATGTGAAATCATAATCCATGTTACAGCAGGTACAATGCAACAACAACAACAACAACACAAATTTGTTTAATATACATGAGGAAAACTAGAAATAATAAACAACATTAAAATAAGACTGGTTCTTTTAATTGTTGCATTGGAGGCTTGAGTTGGTTAGAAATAAATAAGAGTAAGAGAATGAGGAGTGGTTGCTTTCTATGTAAAAATATTCTGAATCACTGTGGGTCTAAATTAAGGTAGATTAAATTTTAAAAAATGTTCTGCAAATGTCTGTATGTTTTAGCTTAGTTTTGTTATGTGCTATACAAAAATAGCCACAGTGGTTAGCAGACAAAAACCTTACATTAATAAGCCATGACTAACTGTTCATGCAAGCTGTAGCCCTATAATTATTCTATCACCATGGGCTTGTGAGGTATATATAAGTAGATATAAGTGGTAAAATAGTCCATGTTTTTCACTCCATCAGGGTGCTTCTTGCAGAGTTGGAGAGGCATCAGGACGCGTGGCCGTTTCTCACTCCCGTCAACCTAAAATCAGTCCCCGGCTACAAGAAGGTCATCAAGAAACCCATGGACTTCTCAACAATAAGAGAAAAGCTTGTTAGCAGCCAGTAAGTCACTACATTTTAATTATCTACTCATTTACTTCGACTTACATTGTGCTTTTTACTAGTGTCAAAATTTCCATTAGTAGTTTGTCAAGTATCAAAGGTGAATTGTGTAACTTTTTCAGTGAAGGGCCCGTCATATACTTTTCTCCATGGAGATGTTATTGCTTTGTCTGGAATGTTTCACAGTATGGTTTTAAACCTTTCTGTTTTCATGGAGACCAAACCATACCAAGTTACAAGTCAGATCTGTGGAGAGGCAACCCTGCTCACAGTCAGAATGCCTGTTTTTCTAGAAATTTTTGAGCTATAAATCCATCTGTAATTTAATAAATGTAAGGTAGAGCTGGTTAATGTCAGACTGTGGAACATTCCAGTTAACAAGTAGCTGACAGACCCCGAACCAAAAGTTACATAGTGTACCTTTAACATAAATTTTATAATGCTAAACTTGTAATAAAATATATGTGTTGCTAATTATGTTTTTATTTTGTCATTTCAGATATCAAAACCTGGAGACTTTTATCATTGACGTCAACCTGGTTTTTGATAACTGCGAAAAATTCAATGAAGACAATTCAGACATTGGTCGAGCTGGTCATAACATGAGGAAGTTTTTCGAGAAGCGTTGGACTGAGCTTCTCAAACAAACAAACTAAGACTTTATTATGATAAATCCGGTTTTACGTTTCAAAATGGAGCACCAGGTTGTATTTTATTTCATTTGTGGAGCATGTGGCTTTGCAGGTCGGAACGAGTCCATTCCTTTATAATAAGGAGCCGACGAGTGCTGAGAGAGAGAGAGAGAGAAAAAGAGAAAGAGAGAGATGTCACCTTGAAATAAAAGTTGTTACTGGAGGTGCGCTGGATTTATTACACAGGGATGAAAGCCCCAAAGAGTCCCAGAGAATCGGGGTATCCTAGTGCAATACCATTCCCTGTCTCCGAACACTGCACTGAACCAACCCTCACTCATTTCCACTACCTGTAAATAGTCTTTTGTTATTTAATCGTATTATAGTGAATGTATTTAATTTTGTAATTATTTATGAATCAAGGTCCACTTCATTTTCTATGAAAAGGAAGAATCGTCTGAACTGAATTGAAAAGGAATGTGTCTGTGTTTTATTATTTTTTATTTTAGTTTTTTTTTTTTTTTTTCTTCCCAAAAAAAGAAAACAAAACAAGCCAAGAAAAAAAGCTGTTTACACTGTCAGTGCTTTGGGGCGTCCGAGAACTGTACTCATTTGCTCACAAACTGTAAAACTGCATTTATTTACAGGAACTGCAGAGGAACTGATAGGCAATGGTGATTCATGTGTATATACTGTTTATTAATGTCAATATTATGTCTTGTTTGGAACAATGTGTACAAATTGTTTAAGAATATTAAGATATTGTTTATGCCTTAGAATGATTGTAGCATTCTATTTTAGTGACCGTGATGGAAGCATTATCATAAATATTGTTTGTACAGTATATACATATCCTCTGCAAACACTGTGGTATCCTTAATCTTGGTAGTGCCTACCCTTCCAACAGGGGCATGTAGGGGATGTTTTTGTTTTAGTTTTCATTCTTATGACAATTTTATTTTGATATAATTTCAATCCAACAAGGCCTCCAAAGTTGGACAGTGACACAGAAATCATTCCTCACCATAGCAGAAAAAAGGAACAAGCTTTAGGTTTGGCTTCCACACTGCATCTCCTCGTCGTCTGCCACAATACTGAGGACCTAAGGCCATTTGTAACCACTGTGTTGAACCTTGCTGTGTGTCGTGGCCTGATGGAGGCAGCTAGATTTTTTTGTACCCAAGTCAAAAGTACTTGAAGTTACTTTATTTAAGATATTGTGGAATAAAAGTATCATTCTTTTGTAGGAGCTTTATTTTTCACTAGTGTGTGGCACGGACCTATTAAAAGGATGTTTTTCAACGTAAATCTCTGAGTCTTGTTTTCGTAAAAGCATTTCACACACAATATATAGGGCATTTCAATTTATGCAGTATTTTTTATACATCTGTTGACAATTCCTTATTATCTAATGTAGTTAAATGACCATGGACTAGTCTGTTTGGGGTATGTTTCAAACAGCTTAATCAATGGCTTTGGTTTATAGAATATGGTGATATACTAAGAAGGCAAGATCAAGTTTTCATATTGATAATATTGATTAGGAAAATTCATTTATGTTGACATTGTCTTCAGATAGCAACTAGGGCCCTTAAATATGCATATCAATATATTTTCAGTCGCCCATGGAGAATGTAGTGATGTAATATGAAACCCAGCAATTACATTACTGTGCATAATTATAGCCTAAAATATTCCATAATACATTTGAATTGCACAACAAAAATATGCAGCGCTACAATCGGGTATGCTATACACGAGCATATACATACACGCTAATTTAAATAATAAAAATACTGCTGTGTGACCCAGATTAGAAGAATGTATGTTACATGTTTGTTACAACGGTAGCGGCGCTTCTTCGTGTCTCCATGGAAACCAGCCGGCAGTAACAATTACGTAGTGCGTCTGCACGGACGTAGTACGTCCGGTCAGCTGCTGAATCAGGAAGTAAATAACAAGAGCTGAACAAGAGGCAAGATAACGGAAAAAGGTACGATTTTAATCCCGTCTTTATCTATATCAGAGGTTTGATCACTTATAAATCTGCGATCTGTTTAATTTTACACCCTCTTTATTTGTTGCATTATCGAATATTTTTAGTAGTTTGGACAAAACAGAAAGTTCCGTTTATTACAACAGGATAAGAAGTGGCCATGCCTTGTTTTTCCAACAAGCTTGTAAACAATCGACATTAACTAGTGTTTCTGACGAGTAGTTTATTGCCTATTTGACATTTTGCTGTTAAAATCTGAAGTTAACTGTAATCGTGATTATACTGTAACTAGCGTAGTCATCGCTGGACACTGTATAAACTGTAGGCGATGTTATACAGATGAAGTAGGCTTCCTGCATGATTATACAGATTTTGAAAATGAACACATCTTTTATACCCAAAATGTGTATCAAATAATGTCAAGTAGTGGTCATCTGTCTTGTGCCACCATAGTCTACAACGATTACTTTGGGAACACGAATAACAAATAAAGTTATTGTACTAATACGTACTTATTTATTTAATAGAAGATTGGGTAGCTCGTAGCAATGCTGATAGCACAGTAGCTCATGTCTTCTCATATTTCACAGTCCATTCCTCTGTGATTGCCCTGTGTTCTAGGTCCACTTTCACAAATGGTGTCTCTGATTTGCACTTTACAACACCATAGAGATGATGTCAACTGGTGTGCGTTTTCAGCCACTCTGTTAGCAACCTGCTCTGGGGACAAAACACTGAGAATATACAACACCAAGGACTTCTCCGAGCTGCCCTTCTCCCCACTCACAGGTACAGTGGGCACAATATCAAATGTGCTACAATTATTGGAAGCAAAATATTGTGCAAGAAGAGCAAAAGTACAAAGTTACAACACAATTACAATAAGTGGCTATGACAGTTTGAGTGCAGAGCAGCATATGAACTCAATACAATAAATAGCAGGTCAAGTGACTTGGGGTGACTTGCAGGTCAAATGACAAAGGGAACTGTATCTGTGAATTACATATTTTTGTTATAGTTTTTAGTTCTTATATCTGAATAATAATTACAATTGTCAAATAACCAAATAGCCTTGACATGCTTACAGGACATGGCTACGGTGTGCACTGCTGTTGCTTTAGCCCTTGTGGTCAGTTCCTTGCCTCGTGTTCGACCGATGCCACCGTGGTGATCTGGTCCATGGTTTCCGGGGAAATTGAGGCAGTTTTGGAGCATCCGGGACGCAGCCCAGTGCGAGTCTGTGCCCTGTCCCCAGACTCCACTCACCTGGTTTCTGGAGCTTCAGATGGGTCCTTGGCTCTGTGGGACTTTCCATCCAGACAACGTCGCAGGTAGAGCAACAGGAAATAAATATGTTTGTATTTATCTAAGGCAGTGGTTTCCAACCATTTTTACTCTGCTACTTTCCCCAGCTATTTTACCTGTACATATGTTGGCAACGACCGACCTGACAAGTTACTGTTATTAGAAAAAACAGTATTTCTTTCTTTCCAGTAAATATGTTGCATAATAGCAATTATTAAATACTAAAATACTTTTTAACAGTAGTTGTGATTAACATGTCATCTCTTCATCAAAATTCACACAGTTTTAAACAGGTAGCTGACCCCCCCATCAGAGAAGTTACACAGAACTGTAACCTTACGACACATACAAGCGCTGCACACATTTTTATTTTTTTTCACTTTTTATACTTTTTTGGTCTAGAATTAATTATTTAACATTCTAAGAAAGAAAGAAACTGAATAATTTCTATTAAATAAAACTTATACATAAATTTATACATTTTCCTAATTCTTAGGACCGGAGCAGTGCCAGACACAACAATGGTAGCCTGTTCGTTCAGCCCCTGCAGTCAGCTCTTTGTGACGGGGTCGACTTATGGAGACCTTCGCCTCTGGGACTTGAACATGAACCAGCTCCACGCTGAGAAAAATGCACACGACCTGGGAGTCAGCTGCTGCACTTTCTCCCCAGACATCCACAGTGGTGCGAGATAATCAAGGCTCAATAAATGTTTCACAGTAATTATAATAATTATTTGTAGAAAAAAACCAAAACAAAACATAGACCATGATCCATTGCTCTGTTCAAACACTCTGATCTTTTGAAAAATAGCTATAATGATACACTAAAGGCTTGTCAAGATTTTTGTGGGAAAAAAAACTGTATTTCAACATTTTCTTTCTTTTTTGTGTTTTGTTGAAATCAATGTTACTTTAATGTTTTTACCTCGCAGGGGGTCAGGTGGTGCAGTTTCGCCTTGCGTCCTGTGGTCAGGACAGTCTTCTGAAAATCTGGGCCATCAACAAACTCAGCGGTGGAGGTAAAGACTTAGACTCCATTCTACTCTCCTTGTATTTATCTTTTAAGAAAGTGGGTGTGGCTGACCGAGCTTGGGAAAGGTTTTTCTAATTATACAATACAGAGTAAACAAAGTAGAAGTAAACGGAGTATTTCTTTCCCATAAGACAATGTTCAGACCCCAGTTTATATTATTATGTATATAGTTTTGCATTAGATATCTATGTATGTATTCTCATGCTCAAATTTGTTCTATAATTAATAATCCTAAATCACTGTTTTCTCAGCCTTTTTCAAGGTTATTAATAAATAAACATCTACAAACAATTACATAACCATGGCACATTTCCAAATACTAAACTCCATTTACAGTATGGTGCTTCACTTACACTTCATAAAATTAACAAACTTCTTGGGAAATTGTGTACTAGTTATTTATTTCAAGCTAGTAATTACAGTAATATAGTAAAATAGTAAGTACCCAGTAATTTTTAATACATTTTATATGCTTGTTCTCTTGTAGCCTACAAAATGCAGTTACTTCATTCTCTCACTGGTCAGTCTGCTCCAGTGCTTTCTTGTGCATACTCTGCTGATGGACAACTGCTTGTCTCTGGGTGAGATTGAATTAAATCGAATTAGCAACATGCAAATCACAGAACACAATGTCTGAATTGTAAAAAAAAAAAAAAAAAAAAAAAAAAAAAGTGTTTTTCAAATGAACCACCAGAGGGAGACAGAGATTGCTTAATTTAAATAGTGAGAAATTACTGATACATTGTCAGTATTTTTCTGACTATTCTCTACAGATCTGTGGATAAAACAGTGGCAGTCTATGATGCTGTAAGTATTTAATTAAAATGTTTAAATTCTTACATACACTTTGTGGCCCATGTTGCTCTATAACATAATTTTGTTTTTGCAGACAAATGCCACTTTACTTTACATCTTGAATCAACATGACAGGTAAAAATGTGACTCTTTTGTGTCACTTTTTATATTTTTTATTTTCACCCATTTGACCAAAATACAACTTGTTCACTCCCCTCTGTGAGTTAAATTTGCGTCTTGAAAATGCACAATTATTTAATTATTGTTTTAATCACCCACCTCTGTCGATAAGTGCCCCAGTTAATTTCCTCTCTGCCAACAGCAAGATATGGATGTGCAATTGCATTTTGAGGTCTTCGGTTCACAATTTTGCTGTGTAATTTTCATAGTTTTGTATGTCCTGAGTTGCCCCACACTGAAGTGTTTGCCAAGATATTTCACATCTTAACCTTGCCATTTTCCCCCACTGAAAAACAAAGATAGATAGGTTATCTACATTATGTAGAATAATCTTTTAGTGAACTGCATTATTGTGAAAATTTAAAGATGCACTGTGTAATTTTTCAGTTGGGGTCCATCACCCTCTTGTTTCTATATATATGTCATTGCTCTGCTTCGAATGTTCTACAATATGACATTAAACAGATCAATTACAGGTGGTGTTACTGCTCAAAAATACTTTGAAAAACAGTCAGGGTTAAAGCTACACTGTGAAAAATTTCAGACAAAGCAATAACATCTCCACGGAGAGAAGCAGGTGGCAGACCCTCCATCAGAAAAAGTTACACACTGCACCTGTAAATAGATTAAATTAGGTAGTCAGGGATACCTTCTTAAAACTATTTTGGGAAAGGAATACAAAGCAGATCCCTATCAGTTCAATTATATTTCCCATGCAGTGAGAGATATTGGCATATGTCAGTGCTAGATTTAGACAATATCTTAGAATCATTTAAAATTATTCAGGTTTTCAAGCCAATCACAAGTAGATCTTTTTCTAAACTTAATTTCCGCTATTCACAAGTTGTATGCGACAACAAGTATCAGTTATTGCAAAGGAAGAAACTCAAAGAGACTGTTCCATCAATAGATTGTGATGCAGCGTGGGCACAAAGCATGTATTTACCATTTTTATAAGAGGTAGGACTGCCGCCGCCATAGCCTCTTCCCCTACACATTCAGAGATATCTAGCCCAGCTCAATGATCACTCTTACAGACTATTTATACCTCCTTCAAGCCACCTGTGTCTGCCACAAAGCTTGCAATCTCAACTCTTTCAGCTGAGCCATTTCAAAGTCATTTTGGAGAAACTGAAGCTGGAGGAAACTTGTGGGGAAAAGTCAAGGAAAAAGTAAACAACGCCACAAAAAGCCTCCAGGAAATTATTTGACTTTAAAAGCAGATTATTCAACAGTGAGAGCAGAGGGGAGAGAGGGAGAGAGGGAGGAGAGGAGAGAGAGGGTTTAGAGACTACAGTTTTGTGGCTCAACATTTCTGAGCACTCGGCTTAGGATTTGTCCCCATTAATGTTGCCTTTGACTTTTTTGAATCTACTGGAAATTTTCCGCTTATCCCTGGTTTGATCTGAGCACAGGCTTTCACCACTTAAGCTGCTCTGTGAGGTGCCCCAAGTATTTGGCAGTTTTAACCTTTTAACCCTATATTAGTCAGCCATTATGAAAATTGTGAACATCATTACATTATCTAAACTAATAATTTTACAGTTTATAGCACTCAACTAAACTAAACTACTAAAAATAAGAACTCCAGTGTACAGCTGTAACAATAATGCTGAACAATATAACAAAGTATACAATACTCTACATTAAACCTTAGTGAGGCTTTGAGGTAGTGGGTTGTAAAATGGTAGTCTGACCGAGATATTATTATATGTAATTTTTAATTTAAGTTTGTAAACCTGTATTGAACCTGTAATCATTGTTTCTGCAGATATGTGACTGCATGTTCTTTCTCACCAACTTCTCCCATCATTGCCACTGGATCCATGGATAAAACTGTAAACATCTGGAGGGTGGAGGATGGATGCAGTGGGCAAGGTCAGATCTGAAAACACCATCACTACTACTACTACTACTACTACTACTGCCATTGCTTCTACTACTACTACTATGTTGTTATTATGATACTACCGCTTCTACAGCCACTAATACTACTAATACTACTGCCATTGCTACTGCTATTCATCCTCCTACAACTTCTACTACTACCACCACTACTACTACTACTGTTAATACTAATCCTGCTACTTCTTCTCACCATGAACCTTGAACACTCACATTTATCACAGACTCCTGTTGTTTAAATTCATTTTGTATTTTTCTTGAGTTTTTAGACTATCTAAACACATTTTTGGTAATTACTGCTAATGCGTGCATTGTGTCACCATGGTAACATTCCACCATAGAGATACATAGAAATACAGCACAGCTCTAGCACGATCTCACTGCAAAGTATCAGCACTATACTATAACATAACATTTGTCTGCTAATAATATCTCTGTTTAATATAATTTCTCTTCTCTCTTTGTTTTGGTGCCTTTTTATTTATTTTGGGACCACGCAGAGGGGAAGTCGTTAAATGGTACGTTTCAGTTGCCTTTTTCCCTAAATGTCACTAAGCAAAGACACAATACCCAGCAGTCCGCACTAATCAAGGCCGAGTCAGGAGTCCACAGTGAGGCCAAACCAGAGTGATGGCATGAACTGAGATACCAGGAAATAGATTAAAATTCAAACCAATGTCCCTAATAACACGATGTGATGCTTGAAATCTGCAAATCAAAGAGAGTATGAGTGGAATTTTGATAGATTTCCTATTCCTGGATTTCAGCTTCCTGTTTATAGAGTGTCATTTTGAAAACTGTTGTCCATTCAAAAGAATTAATGAATTGTTAATTGCCATAGCAACGCTAATTTGTTATCATCCTAAAACCCATGAATAACTGAATGAACCATATTAGCAAAAAACAATATCTCAATTTCTTTATCTATCCAATTATGATAATCAGCTGTGATTTTTCAATTTAAAAATATTTTAAAAAATTTGGGAGTTTAAGTATTGCATTAAAATTTAAATATATTGTAAAATTTGCAACAAACTGCAGAAATACCATCTTATGCCTGTTGCAAAAAATAATAATAATAAATGTGTGTTTTTCCCATGCACCTCTACTTAAAACTAATAGCCATAGTTCAGGGGTTTTCATGAGTTAAATATTTCATTTTCTGCACATTTTTAACATATCCTTGGGCAAGACCCTGTATATTACCCTGTCAGTTATTGTGAAATTGTGAACAGAACTTTGCCTCATATGAACCCATCACCCATCTGGGTAAATGACATTTGCTATTAGACACATGAATCTTTATCTTTATCCTGCGTCTTACTGTCTCTTTTTGGTATTTCCTCTTTGAAGCAACAACATTTCAATCAACCTACTTGGGGTTATACCAGATGCCGTCCCTGACCCAGCTGTATTCGCCTGTGCTTGGGGCTGAATATAGTGCATGCTCTAGTACCCCACAGTATTTAGACCACACACATCATCTTAGAACAGTAATGTTTTATGCAATGAGGAAGCTGTCATTATAATCTGAAGCCATTTTGTGAGGTGAATATTCAAATCAAATTGTATTTTATTTTAAAGTGTTTTATTTGCATCTTTTCTTTCAGCTGAGACTACTGTTATATCAAATCAAGGTATGTTCTTTTTTTATTGAGACTACTGAAGCTCTGTTTTTTCACTGGCTCTGCTGTACTGGATTGATTTGAATGTTTTCTGTTAAAAAAGACAATTAATTATTGTTTAAAATAGTCAATTGAAACTTCCTGACCTTTACTTGTTCAATGAAAGAAGCAGCAACAGCTCCTGATCAATACTCACTCAGCAGGTCTCCACTCAGCCCCTCACAGCCCCTCACTTCAATTTGAGCGCTCCTCTCCTTCTTTTCTGTATCTCTGCATTTATTGACATCACTGCCTCCTTTGTTAATTTCTTTTACAAATAAATCAATAAGTAAAATAAGTGTAGTGTAGTGTTTCTGGTGGTGGACAGTACAATAGCATACCATACCATTCCATTCATCCTTTCTCTTCCGCTTATCCGGGGCCGGGTCGCAAGGGCAGCAGTCTAAGTAGGGACTCCCAGACTTCCCTCTCCCCAGACATGTCCTCCAGCTCCTCTGGGGGGACCCCGAGGTGTTCCCAGGCCAGCTGAGAGACATAGTCCCTCCACCCACCATATTGTTCATTTTATTATTTTCTTTTACTTTATTTATTTGTGATACTCAGTTACATTCACTTCCAGTTACTACTTTGTACTTGAATAATATGATTTTGAAGTAACAGTACTTTGACTTGTTTTTTTTCTCTACTCTACCCACATCTGCTATTCTACCCACTTCTTTAGTAATGTAGATAGCATCTCATGGTGTTATATGAGAATGCAAGAGGGTTGGACCAATTTAATTACAAATGGTAGATTTAAGTAAGAAAATAATCTGTTTTTAATTAGTATAACAGTAGTTTAAACTTTAACATAAACAAGTACATAGTGACATCAAGGTCTCGTGTGTAGATGAACTGAGCTATAGGTCAAAATAATCATGTTTAGGTATACTGTATGTAACATTTTCAACTGATACTCTGGGGGTCTACATGCATCTCTGTGATGAAATGTTCAGCAGTTGCCATGGAGACACACTGCACACTTAAGCAAACACAGTCACAAAAGTTTTAAGATAGTGTGAAAATTCAAGAATAAATGTAAAATGGATTTGAACAACACATTTTCAGAAGCCTGTGATTAATACACCCATTTAGGTGTTTGAAAAGTGAGAGTAATTGACTGAAAAACTGCTTGTAACTGTAATGTTAACTGAGAGGTACTTGTTAAATGGTAAAAAATCATCTCATCTGTTAAAACAAAGCTCAGATTAAAGTCTAACTGGAGGAACGGAGCAGTGCCTCCAGTTAACATCACACCTCCAGGGAATGTCATGACAACAGCTGCAAAGTATGAATACATTATTTAATATGCATTTCACACAGGGCCACAATAACTATTTCAAATGCATTCACACCCTCTCTTCTTTAGCTAGTTTCACTCGTCCTTATCTCCTCTGTCTCCTCTCTCTTTCTATCACTTGCATCACCACTGAAGGACAACGCATTATGTTCAGTCTGTTTTTATTTGTTTTTATTATATGTTTTAGGGAGGGCGTCTTTGGGCCCATCCAAGCTGCTGGTCAGTGATTGGTCAGAGGAGGATGTGTCTTTGTGGTTGGGGGAGGAAGGCCTGGAGGGATTGGTGGAAACTTTTAAGTCCAATAACATCGACGGCACAGAGCTGCTCAGCCTCACCAAGGAAACGCTGTCGTCAGAGCTGCACATAGGTGAAAGCACACATCACACTATCACACACTTGACATACACAGAGCTGTGATTCTGGGCACTTTGTACAGCAAGGCCAGTGTTAACGCTGATGTGGAGAACGCAGATTCAACCAGGTCTGGAGCAGGGCTAAACCAAGTCTAAACCACCTTTAAACCAGGGTTAAACCAGAGCTAAACCAGGGCTAAACCAGGACTAAAGCCGGATCACCAGAGCTTTAAGAAAAGGGACTAAACCAAGGCTAAAGCAGGACCATCACTGCATAAGAGAAAGGGGATTAGACTAGTACCATCACAGTTTTAGGGAAAAGGGACTATTGGTATACCAGGGCCTAACCAGGACTAGAGCAGGATCATAATAGCGTTAGACAAGATGGGCTGCACCAGGACTAAACCAGACTCAAAAATGGCTTAAATAGAAGGTGCTAAGCCAGAGCAAGACCAAAACTACTGTATACCTGATCTAAATTAGGATATAACCTGATCTAAACCAAATTAAAAGCAGGCTATTCCATATCAAAATCAGGATCACCACAGCTACATGTTCCTCTAAAGAGGCTAACTTCATAAACCAGGTTTATGTGAATGTTTCCATTACTTTGCTGTCACTTTTGGTCCTTGTTTGTGGACCCAAAATAAATAAGTGCTTTTAACTTATTCGCATAAGCCTAATCAGCAAGTCCCCAATTATTCCTTAGTTAACAATTTTTCTCAATTACCTCTCCCCCATCACCTGAGGACTGCCCATTAAAGCTAAATATTTAAATTTGAGCTTCTGTACATTTGAATGTACAGTGCACCCAAATATAATTACACCTGGGGGATTTCTGTAATGTCCTCTGATGTGGGGAGTATTTGTGGACTCTTTTACACTTGAAGCGCCATCGCGGGGCTAAATTGGGAGTGTTATGTTGTCAGTGTCAGTCAAGAAGCAGCCAGTGCGTATTCGTCATGTACTGTAGTTGTCAGCAAACGACTGCTGCGTTGCCATGCCGTCATTTTCATCCCACAGACTCTGTCAATCTCCACAGAGTTTACACAGCCCCACGGCCGCGACAGGCTTCACATTGTTCTTTGTTTTTGTAACAGCAGGCAGCAGCCCACCTTTTCAGCAGCGACTTAGACGCAAACTAGAAGCATTTATAAACACATAATGATGAATCCAGCACTCATGCACCAAACAGATGGGTGCAGACATTTTTGGCATTAGGAAATGACTGTCATTTTTGAAAAAGAGATTTCCAAATGCTGATGCACCCATGGCTTATTATAATTAATTAAACCAAAAGTACAAACCTTGTAATTAATTAGTTAAGGACATATTTTATTGAATGACAAAAAGCATTAGGAACACATTTAATTTCATCACAGGTTTGATTTGAACTCTTTTTTAACCAGCTTGATTCATCTTTTCAATAACAAGGCATTTCAGCAGTTCTTGTTAAACCAAGGACCAAGTATAAATGTGGTCCTCTGTATACAGATCTAAAGTTGATTTTTATCAGGACTATTCCTGACTAAAATACATAACTACACTACTGTAGTTCCAAACAATCTGTGATACTAATCAGCTTTCTCTATATATCCACCCAACAATGTCAAAGTTACATTTTTCAAGAGACGGTTTTATAAAAATAGAGATCGACCGATATTGATTATTTTCACAAAATTTTGTCATTTTTATTAACGACAAACTCATCTGCAATCCCTTTTACCACAAACCTTTAAAAGAGCTGAGAAGTCACATTTTCAGCTGTTATCTATTTGCATTAAAGTGTTCTCTTCAGGCAGCAGGTCGGCCAAAACAAAATATCGTGCTGTGCTGGAAATAATTTAAAGGTACACTACTGCACAACTTTTCTGGTGGAGGGTCTGCTACCTACTTCTCTCCATGGAGATGTTACTGCTTTGCCTGGCATCGTCCATGGTATGATATTAAACATATCCATCTACCATTTATTCATTACGGGTGTGTCTATTGCTCAAAAATACAATCATTCCTTCTGTGAATGGAGGCATCTCTCCACAGATCTGAACTGTAATGTAGTGTAGAGCTGTAACCTGCTTGTCTCTCTTGTGATAGATGGTTTAATCTATACTGTTGAACACTCTAGACAAAGCAATAACATTTCCACGGAGACAAGCAGGTGGCGGCCCCTCCACTAGAAATGTTTGGCAGTGCATCTTTAAGGCCAACAGCTGATACACTAAAAGGTGCAAATGTCTATTGTTAGTCAGAAACGAAAAATCAAAATATATAGTGACCTAGATTATTAGTATTTAACTGTGTGATTAAGTTGCCATTTTCCACTGGTACACACTGTGGCCCTGCTAAAGACCTAATGCTGTGACGTGTTGGTGCTAGTATTAACTTTGGTTTGGACAGTCTGCGCTTTCTGTTCCCACCACTCTCCCACGCTCACACCGGCCCGCACAGTGATAAACGCTCAAACGCTACAATAATGTCCTGCATATTAGACCAGCCTGTTACACTGCCACCGAGCACACAAACGGATCACTTTTTACCACTACTATAATAACAATATTGACTTCAAAATAAGCAAGAGAACAACATCTTCTGCAATATTTTCTATTTAACATATTGACATTTTATTTGCACAAGAGAGAAACTTTGATTATGTATTGAGTATGTCAACATTTGAATTGTATAGGGAGGAATAGTTAACAGAGCTATAATTCATTTTAGATACTAAGTAATAGGGCTGGACAATATGGAAAAAAACATATCACTGTATATTTTTCTTATATTGATCTAAATTTTCGATTAAATCTTTAAAAACTGGCTTTCAGTATAGACTTTATAGACAGAAACAGATACTTTTAATCAGTGCTATTTGATATAAAACCAAAAAATAGCCCAGTTTTATTCTTCCCAAGTCCAAACTCCAACAACCTCCAAACTGTATGTCCTTAATGATACAGGACTTCATGTTTATGAAGACCCAAAGTGATCATTGACAAAACTCTCAGTACTGGCATTATCGGGCTTTGTTGTTGGTGGTATAATGTGATCTATCAATGTTTATCATAACATTTTACAGTAGTAGTCACACTATATTACACAAAATCCACTCTTGTGAGCTTTAAGCCCTGTTAGAATGTTGTTACCTCCTCAAAAAAAAACATACCTGGAGTTGTGTTTTGTTTCATTCACACGTTTCAGTAATCCTTTATTATTATTAGTGGTAGTTTTCGAGTTAAGGGCTTTACCTTTTGTTCAGTAGTGACTGGAAATTGCAAAGCTGAAATTATCCAAATGATTCTAGTGAAGGTATATGAAGTGTTAGAGAAGAACTCAGCCTAAATATGCAGGGTTTGTGTGAAATTTATGAAACAAAACATAACTCCAGGTATATTTATGATGAGGAAACAATATTACAACATAAATCAGAGAATAGTGTAATATGGGCCCTTTAAATAATTTTCCAAGCCTTCTTTTTACCACTTTTCTATTTATTTTTTATGTTTGCTTTTATGACAGAGTCAGTGGGGCTGCGGAGTAAACTGCTGAGGAAAATAGAGGAGCTGAAGAGTGCGAGCGTGTGCACAGGAGTCCCAGATGAGTTTCTGTGTCCAATCACACGGGAGCTCATGAAAGACCCAGTCATTGCTGCCGGTAAGACTAAAAACACCAAATAAATACTCAAGACTGGATTGCATTCACGCTCATTTCGCGATGTTGTAATATCAAATGGAGGGCAAAGGCCTTTTTTTAACTCTCTGGGTAACAGAAAATATTTAACAGGATTTTTTCAAAGACTGGGGCCATAAATGAGCCACATTCAACTTCACTAATACTCTTTAACTGAAACACTTTTAAAACTTCCTTATTGATTAAGTTTTAATCAAATTGCAAAATTAACATTGTGCAAGATGGACATTGACATCATTAAACGTGCATTGTGTAACTTTCTGGGGGGAAGGTCTGTTACCGTGGAGATGTTGTTGTTTTGCCTAGAATTTTTTATCTATATCCATAGAGACAAGGACCAAGCCAATTTACTGGTTCGATTTGGGCTGCTTAGAGTAGAATTTTGTTGTAAAAAACACATATAATTAAATAAATACGCAAGTTTAATGCCATACTGTGGTACATTCCAGGGAAAGTGATCTCCCTAGCATGTCTCCATGGACACCAGATGCTGGACTCGTGCCAGAAAAGTTACATAGTGCACCTTTACCTCAGGAATATAAATAGCAATAACTGAACGGGCTAGTGTTGGTTGTGCACAATGGAGGCACGCTATTACTAGTCTTCCAAATGTGTTTCTTTGTTTTATTGATTAGATGATTAGATTGTGTATGTATGTTTTTACAGATGGATATTCGTATGAAAGAGAGGCCATCGAGAGCTGGATCAATACTAAGAACCGGTCAAGCCCCATGACGAACCTGCCCTTACTGACCACTCTCCTCACCCCAAACTACACTCAAGATGGCCATTGGACGCTGGAAAACTACACACTAACTGCCAAAGAAACAGACAGGAGTTCATTTGCAAAAAACAATATCGCTGTTTTGAAAATGTCTTCTATTTTATTCATTTTTTTTACCATCTTCTCCATATATTGGGCCTATATTGCACTATTTTCTGATCTATGTTATAATGTTGTTCCCTCATCACAAACATACTGTACCTGAAGTTATTTTGTTTCATTCACACTTGTTTCTTCTCTAGAAAGGAAAATAATCAAAGAAGTCCTCCACTTTGTTTTTAAATTCCATACACTTCACTAGAATCATTTGGATGATTTCAGCCCTGGAGCTACCAGTCTCCACTGAACTAAAGGTAAAAGGGAGTGGTTACCTTGAAAACTTTGGAAAATGCAGATTCATTTCAGCCCAAGACTGTATTTTGAGCTTTGGAGATGTAGAGTGACTAATAATGAAAGATTACTCAAACATGTGTGAATGAAACAAAAAAACAAAAAAAAAAAAACAATTCCAGGTATGTTTTTGAGGACGTAACAACATTATGACATGGCTTAAAGCTCACTCAATTTTGTGTCATATCGGATCTTTAATATTGACAATACAGTTGAGTGAATTAGCTGAAGGGATGGAATATTCTTATTGGAGTCAAATTAATTTGGTTTTTGAAAACACTGCAAGACAAAGAGTAATTTGCGAGCCTCCAAAAATGTTTTCAAATGGCGCTGATCTGTTTCTGGAAATGAACTCTATATTGCAATGCTTCCGGGTTGTTTTATTTCAATACTTAATTTAATATCTTCCTGAAACTCAATATTTAGTTTTATATAGATCTTTATGCACTGTTCAGACATTTTATATGGCAATGGCAATCTAATAATTTCCATATTATTTATTATTATATGAATTATATCGATTGTTTTCAGTATTTTTTATAATGTAGACCCATTTCACTTAAGCTACACTGAAGGCATCCCATTATGGTTGTTAAAAAATGATTCAGATAATTATTATTAAATGTGCACTATGTAACTTTTCTGTTCCATCTTTTCTGTTCAATGGAGATGTTATTGCGTTAGTAGCATGTTTTGTTTGTTGTTTTGTATATTTTATTGTCTTTGAGTATTAAGAAAAGCATTATATAAATAAAAATGTATTATTGTTATAAAAACACCTGTAATTGAGTAAATGCAGGTTTGAAAGGTTTGCAGGCAATACAGTACACTTGAAGGGACAAGCAGGAAGTTACATAGTGCAGCTTTTAATATTATTTTTACTTTAAATATTGTTAATATTGTTTATTTAAAAAAGGACCATGTTAAATACAACGTGAATGGTGCCATGTGTGTCATTGCACCAGAGGTAGCCTTATTCAGTAGCCTTCTATCAGAACTCTTAAAGGTCTATGTACTGTAAGCATGTTAAAGTCTTTAAACGTAATATTATTGTAACTCAAAAGGGAATACTCAATGAGCCTCACACATAATACCCACAGCTGCTTTGTGCTGATAAAAACATTGTTACATATATCAATACTGTTCACTTTTAAATGTAAAGATTATATATCAGACCATTTTATTAATTTATGCTGCATTACTTACTCCCATATGTTCATGTGAAAACTGACAAAAACACGACCAGATGTGCTCCTGCATTTTTCTTTTATTTGACCACAATAATATCTGTGGTACATTCTGTAACCCATAGCAGACCCTGGAAGGGGTTTATGAAATGTAATGTCTTTAAGGATTTTCAGTTCATGTTGCTCCTATAAATGTTCAAATAAAACAGTAAACACTCCATATACAGTAATATGTGCTTTGCTATGAAAAATAAATAGCATATAATGTCAATAGTACTGAAGCAGTCATTTTAAGAGCCAGGCATTCCCCATGTTATCAAACGGACCAAGAAATTTAAGTACACAAACCTATTATTTCAAGTCCATAATTCTGACTAATATAACCACTTAAATATATCTTTAAGTTCGTATAGAATCTGTAAATATTGTGTCTATGTACAAATAGAAATGTATTTAAAAGACACTTGACAATACAGTAGAAATGGCGATTTACTGCAACTATCCGCATGAGGTTTTGAACTGTGTGTATCCGTGCACAAAGCTTTCTTTTTATTTCTACATTTGATAAAGTTTCATAGAATATACTATTTTCTTTAAAATCACTACTTTCTTTAATATATATGTTTTATAATAGACAGAAAAGCAAAGCATAGCAGCCTGAGTTCACTGTATCTAGATTGTAAATGCATTGTAGCAGCATAACTACAGACAGGCTTAGGGAAGAGTCAAACGCCAGTCCCTTGCTACCTTATATGGGTCATCGTCTGTATCTGAAATGGCACTTAATACTCTTGTGGATTCAACTACTAATACTACCTAGTTTACAGAAATACAACACAAGCTAGATTCACAGTAGATCATTTGAGCTCACTGCCTCTTAAAGGGCCCAACAATTTAGGAAGTATATATCTTTTATGTTGTGTGTTGTTTGCTGTCAGCCATTTCGAACACAGAAGCTTTAGACAGTATAAGTTAATGGACTGAGAGAAAGTAGACTCATTCAGATAAACTGTTCCAAGATAAAAGTGTGTAGAAATCAGTAATACAAAAAGATAAAAATGTGGAACCTAATCTATACATAATGGTATAGCACTTATAGTATACAGCAGGGGTCTCCAACCTTTTTCCTCCGGTGAGCTACCTTTACAAAAATGCCAGAGAGCTACTCATTTTAGCAGCCACAAGAAACTGAGATGATTATAAGAAAGAGGGCAAGCTTTTGGGTACAGTTAATGGTTTATAAAACATTGCAAAATTGTTTATTAGTGCATAAAGTTGGGCTTCAAAATTATACATTTACAAAGGTAATAGGTATGTAATTAACCAAATGTAAACACAATATTTGAAATCCTTTGGCGATCTACTTGGAAGGAGGTGAAGAGCTACTAGTTGGAGTCCCCTGGTATATATTACAGTTTTTAAATTGTGACTTTTAAAGGTGCACTGCGCAAATTGTCTCCATGGAGATGTTACTGCTTTGTGTGAAATGTTCCATGGTATAACTAAACATTTCCATCTAGCGTTTATTCATTACATTGATCAAAAATACAATAATTCCTTCTGTGAACAGGGATGACTCTCCACAGATCTGAATTGTAATGTAGTGCTGTAACTTACTTAGGGATAGATCTATACTGTGGAACATTCCAGAAAAAGCCATAACATCTCCATGGAGACAAGTAGATGTTGGATCTTCCACTAAAAATGTTACAGAGACCAGCAAAAAGTTACATGTATATAAAGGAGTGGGCAAAAAGACAACAAGATTTGTGTAGGGACAGACTGATATGAGTTTTTCCATGGCCATGCAGATTATTTCTTTTAAATCCAGTTGACTGATGGAGCATAAACTCCATCGATATTTTGAGCTTGATTTTTCATGAAAGCATTATAAAGTCGGTAAATGTCACTTCCTTTCCTCCTATTGGTCATTAAACCAAACACAGTTAAGTGTAAACTGTAATATCTTTGAATATTTCTTAGGGATATTTAAAGCCAATAAGTGTATACATTTTAATAAAATGGTAGGTTCTAAGAAAAATCGAGACAGGAATTTTGCATTATTACCCACCCCTACTTATACTTGTAACGCTTTGAAAGGTTTTGACAGAGCAACTTCAAAACAAGCTGAAAGTTCGAGATGCTTCCCACTGGGTAATTGTCTCTCACACGGAGTAATAAGACTTGATTAGCTCATCCTTGTGTAAACATTTCACAAAGCTAAAATGAAATGCAAAAGTATTCCAATAAAAAATACAACAAAATATATGTATCAATGCAAAATAATAATATTAACTTGATATTTTCTGAGTCATCTTTCAACTTCACATGCAAAGCCCCTGGTCTCTGGTTCTATTAGTTTGTACTGTCTATGGTAAAACAGCCCAAAACTGTGCTTTGTTTTGTTCAACTATTTTCAGACGTTGGACTCTATAAAGGAGCGCTTGGGTTTGATGGGCGCCATGTGGAGAGCGGGGTTATCTCGGGTCAAGCTTGGCGGTCTGTGTCGCCCATCTGGGAAGCGGAGTTGGGACTGCGAGGTTCTGGCTTCACGCTGTTGACCGCTGCTCCCACAAATCTGGTCCTGGAACGAAGCGCGTCTGTAGTCATTGTGCCCCTGAAACTCCATAACCGACATTCCGAAAGCGTCCGCCCCCCCCTCCTCGCTCGGGACGGCTCAGACTGGTGCTCTGCTGGCCCTGCACCCTCACTGATTTGTCCATAACCCCCATAAAAGGACGCGGTTTTACATCCTTGGCTTTGAAGCTGCCACTGCTCTTGATCGGACATGGCGCTTCCTTATCCGATAGATTCCCGCTCGAGGCTTGACTTGAGCTGGAACCCCTTGACCCAGCAGTGCCCACTTCTCTGCGCACCTCCATGCCAGAACCAAGAGCCAACGCCAGGCTGTCCGGGGTGGGCGCGTGGGTCGAGAGTCTATCTGCCCCCCTGGAGAAGCTAGAGGAGCGAGGTTGGTACATGTGAATCGGGGCAGGAGGCGAGGAGCTGCTCGGAGACAAAGGGTGATATCGCTCGGTGGGGCTGAGTCCGGGGTGGTCTGTTGAAGATACCGGGCCAATATCAATGCCAAGCAAAGGAGCTGGTCTTAAAGATGTGGACATGTGCCTCCCTGGGAGAGGACTAGATGGCCCACACAGAGATAGTGGTCTACCCCCCACTCGTCCTGATTGTAGGGAGTAGCTTTGTAGGTGTGTCCGATTGCCCTGTCTGCTGAGGGAGGGCACAGGCTCAGGTAAGTCCCCAAACAGCGGGTACTCGTCCGGAGAGAAGCAGGGGGATGGGTCGGACAGGCCGAAGCTTCCTGGTAGAGTCCTGTTGGGAGCGTAAGGATTCAGAGGCCAAAACTCCGGGCTTTTTCCACAGGGCAGGATCAGCTCATCGCAGTCGTCTTTATCATCATCACGCTCCGGGTCACTGTGGTCGACCTGTCACAGTAACAGATAAATTAACTGTACAGAAAACCATACTGCAACAGAAATAGTTATGATTAACGACAGAGTTGGGCATCAGCATTTTAGGTTCTATCCTCCAGAAAAATTATGAAACCTGTATTTTAAATCTACTTTTAATTTGATGTCAATTATGTCAAATTTTAGGAAACACTGTCACAGCTACTGACTCACTTTCATTCACATAGTAGAGAAGACTTATAGGACTTAAAATAAATAATAATAATAAAAAAAAAAAAAGTAAAATATTTTAGTAACTACAATTGTTACTAACATACTAAATGTACATAGTGTCTAGAAACAGGTATTGCAAATGTTTCTTATATTGCAGCATAAGTTGAAAAAGAAGGCTGATTGTGTTGTGATAGTGCTCTGAAGGGGGGGTGACGTGTGGTGAGCAAGGGCAGAACCTTATTGAACATTTGAATGCAGTGTTTTCAGTGTATACAGCATTTTAACAATAAGAATAATACTACATTGGTTTTATATATCGCTTTTCACAGTAACTCAAAGATGCTTAGATGCTAAAGGTTTTTAGTGAGTTTGAGTTTTTCAAAATGATAAGAGTTAAAATGGTGAAATAAAATGTTACATGTTAGCAATTGATACCCCATAGAATTTGTAATACCCTCTCTTTAACAGTACTACTACTTACAGGGATGGGCCTCTCTGGGCTGCCCTGGGAGAACACGTCGTGCTCCTCGTCTCCGGTGTGGAGGTGGTGGCTGTGCGTGTCTCGGCTCAGGCTCTGGACCGCAGCGCCGCTTTGAGCTTTCTGATGATGTTTACATTCCTCCTCGACTCGAGCCAAAAGCCGACGGATCTCCCGGTTGGACGGGCTCAGTCGTGCTGCTTCATGGAGATCGGCCAGAGCTGCAGCGAACTGTCTGTGGAGTGGAAACAGGAGCCAATACACACAAGTTACTCATACTATTAGACTTAGACTTATTCAAACTTTACTGATCCACAAGGGATTTGGACACAGTAGCTCACACAGCACAATATAATATAATAACAAAGAGCAAATATACAAATGATAATAATACATTCAAAATAAGTAGCACAAATAGAAAGAGACTGGTGTCAATTAAGTTATAACTATGCAAATATGTACAAGTATAAAGAAAATATAGAAATATAGTAATACAAAAGATATCTCAGTTATATACAAAGTGCTTCATGGTAAAAGAACTTGTAAATAACAATCTATTTTCATAAATTCTTCCCAAAAGCTGTTATAATATTGAACAAAGCACTTTAAACTTTGATGTAGCACCCTAATATTTTAGCTACTTAATCTTTGTAGCGTGTTTATTTCACAGTGTCAATATGTTGCCTGTAGTGACTGCCTATTGTTTCTTTATATGGTTGTTTTTATTCTCTCATGGTGCGCTTTGAGCTTTTAGCACATGTTTCCTCATTGTGTTTTTTAACTATAAATGGCAAATAAATTACCCTAACTTAAATTACAGCATGCAGTTACCAGGAAAAACAAGTTTTGAGGCAGAACTGGATCAGGGGATCCAGTTAGTCATGGGACTAAACAAATCAGGTCTAATCTTCAAAGCACGAGACCAGGGGTCTCCAACCTGTAACTTGGGAGCTGGAGGTTCAAATCCTTGAGGTACTAAAGGAGACCAGTCTCTGAACAACTCTAAGAGTCCAGGGGCGGACCAGAACTCAGAGGAGTCAGAGACACTAAAGACTCCAAACAATGTAGAGATTCCAACATCAGGAGAAACTGGACTGAAATTAAACTGAATGTTTCAGAGGAGACATCAGAAGAGAGTCACAGACACAGCTCTCATGAACCTGCCGAAGAGGAGCAGAGCAAAGACACTTCAAATCAGACTGGACAGGAAGAACTCAAAAATGATTGAGAATTATATTTCACACATTTCAAGCAACTGCTCTGAGGGACACCCAGCTTTGGGTGTGTTCCACAAAAGTCCAGTGGAAAACCCAGAGGACCGGGAAACTCAAACTGAGACCCAAGACCAAGAGGAGTCAGAGACACTAGAGACTCCAGACAATGTAAAGAGTCCAATGAAGATTCAAATCCTGGAGGTTCCAAGTGGACTGAAACAACAAAGTCCAGAGGAGGAAGAGCTCCTCAGTACGTTTGACGAATCTCCTGAAAATGACCAGACCCCAGAGCAGCTGGACATCAGCTCAGAGGGAGACCTCAGTCCAAGTGAGCCCCAAACACAAGAGGACCAAACTCCAGAGGACACACAGACACTAATGGAGGTCCAGAATCACCTCTAAACTGCAGAGGAGCCAAACACAGAGGAGGTGCAGCTCCACATTGCAGAGGATGTACCAGCAGAAAAAGAGTGTGAGAAGCTGGAGACAGAAGAGCCAGCCTCAGCTCCAGAGCCCCCTGCAGCTCCTGAGGCCTCACAGACCCTGGGCTCAGTGGAGAGCCTGGTGATCCATGCTCTGGTCAAGAAACTGCTCCAAAAGCTGCCGTTGAAAATGAAGTCCCATCACGACACAGTAGTGCAGACCCTGAAGAAGGCTCTGGACCAGTTCAAAGTCCGAGCTGGAGTTCATATCAAGCCCAAGAACATCAAGAAGCTGGGCAAAGCCGAAGCCAGAGACCTGATCCACGAATATGGCTCTGCCTCCAAGCTCCTCGTGATGGCTTTGGGACCAGATCCCACAGAGTTCCAGAAGGACGCCATGAAACATTTGAACCTTCGACTCAGTGCCTTCAGGAACCGGCCCAGAACTATTCAAGGACAGCTCTTTCCACAGTGGGACAAGCAAAGGAAGAAGGCCGCTTAGACAGCGCCCCATGTGTCCTTTACAAGAAGTCACTCGTTTGGTAGAGAGGGGTCAAAGGTCATCATCTGAACACTTTTGAAGTCGAGATGTTTCCCTGCCATCCAGAGCTCATTTTAATCTGAAGGTGGACGTTCTCCTGCCCTGAGCAGAGTTACTCCAAAATACTGAATGGAAGTTGAAGCGTTTCCATTTCAAAAACTGTTCAGATGAAACCTACGACTCCTTTTCTGCCACCGACCATTCAAACGAGGATCACACCGACTCATCGAGGACACAACACCTTTATTCAAATGCATTCAAAAAATAAATAAAACTTCCCCCTACCCCCAAATATTGTCATTATCTTCCTTTTATGTCTTTTTCTCTTTTAAAGCAGCACTGCATAATATTTCTGTAGAGGGCACATCACCTGCATGTATGTTTTTTCACCTGTTTTGTCAGCAAGGCCCTGACATTTCAGCAAAAAATATAAAACAAATCATTTTATTACATCAGTTAATAACAATATTATATATTTTTTTTAGATTTTAAATTCTCTCAAACATAACACAAATATGAAGGATTAATGAACTGAACTGAAAACTAAAGTATCCAATTAGATTAGGTTTTATTTAGGGGTTACACCTGCAGAAATGCCCTCTCATTCCTTGGGCCGTCCATCTGTGAGCTGCTGGCTCTAGTCTTAAAACTGACCAATCAGATCGTCCTTTTTCAGTTGATTGACAGGTAGACACCTGCACTGGTACATAGGCTTAGTCCCACCCAGGGCAGCTGTGCACTCAGCACTCAGGTTTTATTCTGAGTAGAAGCTGCTAACTCTGTAGTTCATTCTCTACAAACATGTTCTAAAATACATGATTCTTTTATTAGTTTGGTGATATGTTGTTGTTTTTTTGGACAACATGCAAAAAAACTACAAAAGTATAAGTACGAAACTAACAATAAGGACAAAGCTAAGGCTAAACCAAGCAGTTCTCCACTCGGGTGAGGTCTGTCAGTGATGAATAAATCCCATTATTATTAAGCAGATTACTGGAGAGGTTTGAGATTCCACTTATTGAATGATTAAACACACGGGTCCAAAGCAGTGTTTACCTGCTACTCCTCTTGGCGCGGGCTCTGGCATAAAACGCCTCATACGATCTTGGCTTCAGCTCCAGAGCTTTGGTGGCAAAATCCTCTGCGAGACCAAAGTCCTGTGTTTGCAGAAAGACAAATGAGTTACCAAGCCAAAATGGATGATGCTACAATTTAAAACTCAAATTTAATGTATTTTTTTATGTATTTATAAACATATTTGTATAATTAAATTAAATATAAATTGTCTATAGCTATTTTAAAGCTTCAGCTAATTGTCGTTATGTGTTTGTACGTACGGTATATTAAGCTTTTCCCAAATCCCATAGGAAGAAGAGCAATAACATCTTTCCCCTTGATAAAATTCCCCAAACATTCTCCGGCCTTGTTCTGGCTTTAAATCCTCGATCTCGGGAATCATTGTCAACACAGAATATATGGCTTCGTCTACATCCATCAGGACCACTTTGTTTACTGTTGTGCTGTGCCACAAAAGGGACCCAGTCATGGCTTCACAGCTCTTCGCTGATTGGCCAGTGAGCAGTCTACAACTTCTGGGGTTCTTACAAACTGTCTGGTCTATTCCGATTCTTGACCTAGTCGATGGAGAGAACTGAAATTGAGTGGAGGCATGAGGACTGGCTACCTTTTGCCTTGAGCTCAGTACAGACCCCAGGGCTGAAATTGTTCAAATTATTATAGTGAAGGTTTAAAAAAACAGTGGAGCACATCCTGTGTTACCACATGACATCACAAGGTGGAACAGAGTGTCTTCTGTTTAAGAGAAGATCTTAGCCTAAATATGCAGGGTTTGTGTGTTAAATATATGAATGAAACTCAAGTTATGTTTTTGATGAGGAAACATTACAATGTAGATCAGAAAATAGCGTAAAATGGGCACTTTGAAAATATAAAATAAACTTTGAGCTATTAAATGATGTATATGACATATTTAAATTTAACAAGTAAAACATTTTTGATGTCTGCTTCAATAAAAATGAGTTTGCATCCTCATTAAGCCCCTGACCAATGCCTGTTTAATGGTACTGAACACAGGGCAATTATTTTCACGGCCGATCGTCGACTGGCAGAAATAGAGGTGATAAAACAGACAGGAAGGAGGTGGGTTTTCTGTGATTTTTTTTTACAGCTTACTCATCATCATTACTCTCAGGTGAAATTTTAATGACGCCTTTGTTGGTGTGTCCTTGAAAGTGAGGTTAAAGCTACAGCCAGAAAAGAGTGAGACAATGAATGCTAATAAATGAGGCTATCAAATAGTTCAGTGGTTCGGAAAAAAAATACAAGTTTACAAGTCAAAAACAATTTACTTTTTAAAATACTGTACTTAGTTGACAAAATTAACTTGATTAAATAAGGGAAAACTAAAAGTGCATTAATTTGGGACTTAACTGACTAAATTAAAATGAGACCCAATGCTAAACCAGGGCATGAAGGGACTAAAAGAGGAATAGCATTAAGTACAACCAAAGCAAGGACAAATCAAGGACTTAACCAAAAATACTCAGCACAGGTCTACAGCACAGCCTACAGAGTGAGAAAATATAAGAAATATAACCAAGCTGGGGAAGACCCAGGACACGCTGGAGGGACTATATCTCTCGGCTGGCCTGGGAACGTCTCGGGATCACCCTGGAAGAGCTGGAGGACGTGTGTGTGGAGAGGGAAGTCTGAGAGGCCCTCCTCAGACTGTTGCCTCCACGACCCGACCCCGGATAAGCGGAAGAAAATGGATGGATGGATAACGAAGCTATAACCTATAATTTAACCAAGGAATAAAAATACTGTAAAATAAGATAAGAAAACCTTTATTTGTCCCATAATGGATAAATTCAAGTGTTGTGATGCACAGTTCAAGAACAGCGAAAGTATAAAAATATGTACACAGTTAGAAAGTGTGGAACTGTGGAACTTTTCTGGTGGAGGATCCGTCACCTCCTCTCCATGGAGATGTTGCCTGGAATGTCCCACAGTATGGCATTACACTTATGTATCTCTACAGAGGCTGCAGGTGATGCCACAGGGCTAAGTTACATGTGAGATCTGTGGAGAGGCAAGGCAGCTCACAGTAAGCATGCAGGTTTTAATGCTATTGAGTAAATGTAAGATAGATATGGTTAATGTCATATCGAGACATTTCATACAAAGCATTAACGTCTCCGTGGAGACAAGCAAATAACAGACCAGCCACCAGAAAATTTACACAGTGCATCTTTAAATTTAACACAACACCGTGCAAGTACAATATGCTACTCTGTAAAATGAACTTTTATGAGTCTTGAGTAATCCTGTATTATCCTGCGTTCAAGGCTTCAGTGCTCAAAAAATGCTGTTTTTACCTACCCCCTTTTACTGCTTACAACTCTGTACTTACAATTATTCAAGAAAATTTAGCCTTTGGGTCATTCACACAGGGTTTATAAATGTCACAGTAATTTTTCATTTCTTCTAAGGTGAAATACCACTATGAAGAGGTGGGGAGTTTTGAACAGTATGAGAACCAAAATATCTCCCAGTCTTAAATAATGCATTGCTCTAGTCCATTATATATAGTCCACTGTAATACAGGCTCTAACAAAGCCGCAGATCTAGACTGGCCACCGAATGACCTTATCACATCACATTATCTGATTCATCGGCCACACACACCCTAAGGATGACATTTTAACACATTCAGTTCGGACAGCTGTCATCGGGGGGCGCTCCAAACCTCGCCCCGGGACAAAAGCATCTATCTCAACAACAGCAGCAGCCCATCGTGATGTCAACACCTGCTCCACCAGGTCGGATGCACCAGGGAAAACACAAAAGCAAAGCTGCTCACTGTGTCACGATTTTCCACACATACATAGATTAAACTGGGTATAGTAGCAAATATGGGACCCAAATAAGACTAATCAAGTAAGAGTTTAGTTAATCTGCAATCAAACATATAAAATAGTACTTATGGGATTTTTAAAGAAATAAAAATAGCACAAACTGTACAATATGCTATAATTAATAATGCAATAAATTACACTATTCATCGCTTGTCGCTATTTTCTGATCTCTGTTATAATGTAGTTTCCTCATCATAAACATACCTGGAGCTGTGTTTTGTTTCATTCACACGTTTAACACACAAACACTCCATATTTAGGCTCAGTTCTCCTCTCTGTTCCACTACCACTACTTTAACAACTTTTTCTGTAGCTACACTTGTTCTGGAGCAGACTGACAGAAATGTAGTTGTCATTCTGACCACTATCAGTCATACATTGATTCACTCTTGGTGGATGCAGTCTTGCCATTAGACACAATGGCAGTTTGCATTGCCTTTAGGAAGGATCAAACCAAAATACTTTCAGGTTTGTAGGTCAAATCCTCTAATATGGGATCTAATTACATGAAAGTGAGTATACAGTCACAACTTATGCGAGGTTAAGTTAAAATAAATAAAAGTTAAAATAAGGCTTATGACAAAAAGAATCCCTTTGCGAATATGATCAAAATTGGCTCTGCATAAGAGCCCAAAAATATCGGCAGAATTTACTGGCCATCAGTTGCCCTGGACTATAAATAATCTGTATCGACATTGCAAGAAAAATAACTGTCGATAATAATAATAATGTAATAATTTCCCTCATTTAGTAGCTGTAAACCACTCAAGTGCAATTTAATCTAAACATATTTAAGGTAGAATACATGCAGCACTATTCTCTTCTGGATGTAGAAATGTTTTTGCAGTACACTATGGCTATGCAATGTTTATCCGGATGAATTATGAATCTGAAGGGCTCTGCTGCCTTGGTGGGCAGTCCTCTTGTGGTCCCTTTGGCGCCTCATAAACCTGATGGTGCTAAATAGTGCATGAGCGGTTTGATACAACGCTGGGACTTACATTGGTTTTCCTCCGGCAGCGCGAGAGGTTGAGATACAGAGAGACCCGCAGATCCCGAAGCCCCTTCAGCTCCTCTCCCTGTCCCTCACGTGGCAGTTTCCTCAAGGCATACTGGTATCTCTGCCCAGCCTCCTTCATACGCCCTTTCTACACAAACACAAGGCAAAGGAATATATAGATCATTGCAGGGAAGGTAGAATTAACACATGCACAAGCTGAGAGGTATTTTGAAGTAGGTGTTGCTGAATTATTTAACAAAGCTGAAAACATATCTTTCCACTTTATTCCTGAAGTACAGTTGCTGCCTACAAAACCTTTTTTGTTTGTTAAATTACACTTTTACTTTTACTTTTTACTCTTTTATTGAAATTGTACAACATAAAATAAATAACCTATTACAATTCAAATTAATGAAATTGTTCATTAAAGATTAAAGATTACCCGAACATTTTTATATGCAGAATACAGTCTGTGGCATTGCTGTAATATTTATAATGCCTCAAAATTTGCATTAGCAGCATTGAGACACAAACATCTCCCTAAACACAGAAGTGTCCTGAAGTATTTATTTAATTTTTGTACTTTGTCGGTGACATCAACCCACAGCTCCCAGTTCACTGCCTGATCTTTAAATATGGATTCATTTTAGCACAACTCAGCAAAAAACACAGAGATAAAATCAGACAGAAAGTTGTTTGAAAGATGCACGGTGCATTTGCTGTGGAGGGTCTGCCACCTGCTTGTTACCATGGAGGTTTTCTTGTTTTGTCTGGAATGTTTCACAGTATTGCATTAAACTAATTTGTGAATGGGCTAGTCTCTGCACAGATCTGACCTGTAACCTGGCTCATTATCAATGGAAGGATCAACGCTAAAGAAATTACATTTGTGCATAATAATGAACTCCTAGGTGACATGTCGCACACATGTCAAATCAAATCAAATCAAACTTTATTTATAAAGCGCTTTTCATACAAAACTGTAATACAAAGTGCTTTACAGTGATTAAAAACAATCCCACATTTCCATCCACCCACCCACCAACCCCATACCCACACCTGCCCGACCCCACACAACTAAACAACACACACACGCACACACCCCCCCTCACACACATAAACACGGTAAAATACATAAAACGACACATAGTAAGATGTGAGGCTGAATACAGGCGAACCAGTTGAGAAAGCACCATCAGAGGAGCCGTCTACTCTAGGAGCAGAGAGACGTCCACCGCCATTTATCAACACATAAGGATAAAATTACAACACGTTTGACCTATAGAGATGCATATTGAGATAGAGAGATGTTAATCCTGCTAGCTAATGCTAAACATATGTATTTTTAGTTTTCCTGAAATGAGTTTTGTACAAATCTATCCTTCATGTTATATTGGTAGCTAGCAGCTGGAGTAGAACAAAAATCTATCTATAATATCTTAGTAAGCAATTAACTAAAAAGAAACAGTTGGCTAATGCTTTCCACCCTCATAATGAGTGCATATGCATATGGCATATTTATTACTTTGCAACAATCAACTGTAATTTCTTTCTCAATGATGCGACTAAAGAAGTCAGTATTTTTATTACTGTGACCTGAAGTATCATGGTAACAGATTAACAATTAACAATAATCTTGGCAATTCCATAAATAGCTCTAACTATTATGCATTACCTTGTAGAGCATGTTTCCCTCCTCCATGAGCTTCTGCAGCAGGATCAGCAGAATATCTGGTTTGGACGAAGCCATGGCCCAGGTAGCATGGCCTGAAACAGTGACACAGTGAACATAGGACTGCTTAATAATGGCAAAAAATGTAATCACGACTATTTGGCCTATTGAAATCACAATTATTTAAAAACATTTACTTCTGAATCTACACTACCAGGCAAACGTTTGGACACACCATCTCATTCAATGTTCTTTCGCTCTACTTTTGACATTTTATACAGAAGACATCAAACATATGGAGTAAGATATATGAAATTGTGTATGAAAGAAAAAAAGGTTAAATCAAATATGTGTTTAATATTAAATTCAAATCTCCAAATTAGTTACCGTTTGCTTTGTTAAAAATATTTAGTAGAGTTATTTAATATTTTTTTCTTTACTAAATAATTCCATGAGAAAAATCATCATCAAGAAAAATAATAATAAAAAAAAAATGAGAGGGCAAGTCCAAACTTTTGACTGTATATAGTCAAAATAAATCTGTAGAGAAAGTTTTGACTTATATTATTGTATTAGTAATGTTTTGTGACACAGTTTAAATTAGATTAGAAAAGTGGATTTGCTCCAGGTTCTGTGAGGCAGAACTAACAGATATATTATTCCGAATAGATAAACATTTGTAATTGACTAGACTAGAGCAGTAATAGAAATCCCAATTATAAGTCTGATTCATTGCACGGCCCTGAGCATTTGTCTTTCTCTTCACAACTCAGCCTGTCTCAACACTGTGAGAAGTGCCATAACTCTCATACCTGATCGATCGTGAGGAGCCGTCCTGTAGCCTTTTGAGGGATGAACGGAAAAGCCCAAAGGATACAAAGAGAGAGAGGGAGAGAATAGTTAGAGCTGATGATAAAAGATAGAGATAAACCAGGATTTAACCAGGTCTATGCCGGAACTAAACTAGGTCTAAGGACTAAAGCACCAGAAATGGAAATATCAGGTGTAAATTGTTAGTTTGTTAGAATATTTATTTCAAACTTGCACATATAATTCACATCACAACATAACAGTACAGACACAGGTACAAACATGCATGGTTTGAAAAGGGAATGGATGAAGCAAATCTTATACGTATGATTAAACCAGGTCTGATCCAGGGCTCAACAAGGATTAAAATGTGAATTAAGATTAAACTAAACTAGTACTGGTGCAACTACAACTAAACCTGGACTAAAATTGGACTAAACCAAGATCTTTCACAATTGTCTGCACCAAAAAAATGCAATTTGAAGGTCTCTTGTAAAAACTAGAACTAAACAAAAGCTAACCCAGAACGAGCAGGACTAAAGGACTAAGCAAGGTGTAAACCAGGGCTGTACAAAGACTTAATCATGGCTAAGAACACTGTAAACAGCAAGCACAAAAAAACTCTGGTATAACACAGCTCAAAAGTGTAGTGATAACACAGAAATACAGATACATCTTCCTTTATGAGAAACCAAAATCGATCAAAAGTTCATTACCTCCTACCTGCAGCAGAGATATTGATTCTACTTCATTGTGTTGTGGAGTTATCTGTTTTCTTTTAAAAGACCTGTACCTGATTTCAAACCATAGACTGTATAAAGAAGTGGTCTAAGTGAGTGTGACGTCACCCACAGTGTTCAATCAAATGAAGCTCACGAGGCTAGAAGTTATAAGAGCGAATCTGGAGCTGAGTTCCATATTAGGAATGGGCGAAATACCAAAAACCCACCAGGCAGTCCGGAGTTTTGGATATGGGACCTCATTTCCTAGTGAGCCAGAGTGTTGGAGACGTGTGGAGACACTTTTAAAAAAATATTCCGTCCAGTTCTTGTATTTGCAGAGGTCGCTGGTGCTAGGCTAGTACATGTCAATGGCCATAGTTATTCTGCCACTAAAACAGTCTTGCCCATTCCACAAAGCACCAGAAGCAAATCTATTATTACGCCAGACTATCAATGTGAATGTCTGTGTTGTTGACAGAATAATGTTTGAAATAAAACTAACCCTGCATCGCATGAATCGTCACATGTTGAGGGACTATTTTCTCAGCAGCAGAAGAATTTTACTTTGCCGGTAAGATAGGTGCTAGGTGGTATCTGTCCGCTGCTGTCAAGCTTTCTATCAGGAAGGACAACTTGCTGCTGCTGCTCAGACTTAAATCCTTCAAATGCAAAATTGGTTTTACTTCTAAAATTATTCTATCAACACAGACATTCACATCGACAGTCTTTTTAGTTTAGCCTTGGGTGTTTTGTGGAGTGTGTAAGACTGTTTTTAGTGGCAGGCTAACTATGGCCATTGATATACGTTAGTCTAGCACCAGTGACCTCTGCAAATACAAGGACTGGATGGAATATTTTAAAAAGTGTCTCCACACGTCTCCAACACTCTGGCTAACTAAGAAATGAGGTCCTATGTCCAAAATTCTGTCCCTTTAATATGAATATTTTAAGACCAATATGATGACTCACAGCAGCAGTTGCAGAGAGAGGGGCAAGGCTAACCGGTTAGTTATGTCCATTTATATATACACCATGACGGGGAAGAGCCTGGGACAGTGTCAGGCTATTATGCAAATTTTACTTTTTTTGAGCTTTATGCCATGTTATAATGTTGTTACCTCAAAAATTGGACTTGTGTTGTGTTTCATTCACACATGAGTAATCCTTTATTATTAGTCTGCCTACATCTCATCAAAGTTCAAACAGCTATCTTTTATTTTTTGTTCAAAAGAGACTATTTCAAGCTAACATTATCCAAATGATTCTAATGAAAGTGTATGGAGTTTAAAAACAAAGTGGAGCACTTCCTGTATTACCACATGACATCACAAGGAGTGTTTACAGTTTGTGAAAAGAACTCAGTCTAACTATGCAGGATTTGTGTGAATGTGTGTGAATGAAACGCAACACAACACAATTTTTTGATGAGAAAACATCATTATAACATGGACCAAAAATAGCGTCATATGGGCCCTTTAAAATTAGGTAAAGGCCCTTTAAAAGTATCCATTGCAGTGTTTTTGTGTGTCGTGTTTTTACCCATTTTGGAGCCCTTTTTGAGCAGAGAGGCCACGAGGGCGGGGTTCTGGCATCCTCCCGAACGCTCTGAGCCCCGAGTCCCATTGTGATCAGTCCGCTCCAACACAGCACCATGATCCACCAAACAGTGCACCTGCCAAAACAAGAGGACAGATTAAGAGTTTCTCATCAGAAAAATCAGCACGTTTAGGTACAAAAGGTGGTGCTCTTGAGAAATTACAGTTTGAAAACTTTAAAATTGTTAAGTTTATGCTGCTAACACCTTGTAATATCTCTCTATAACCTTTTGTCTGTGCCAAGTTAGGACTCAGGACAAATATGAACAAATTTCCCATTAATTTTTCAAAGAAACAAAAAATATATTCAGGCTGGAGGCTAATTAGCTCATTTGTAACTGATGACATGCAAAATTTTATTCAAAATCTGTTTCTGAAAATTTATAAACCAATAATTTATTAAAACATTTGGCTCAAGTTTTTAATTAATTTCTTGGACTGAAAACAACCGTGTTATGAACCTTAGTTACAAAAGGTTAGCCCCAGTTATAACTTTAAACTCTATGAGGGAAATGAACGTGAAATTTACTTCTTTGGCTTTGACCTCCACTGGACAGAACAGCTGAAGTGTGAAATGGGGACAGAACCCACAACCCTATAACACTGAGGTAGTACCAACCACGTATGTGCCTTAAAGGTTATATTTTGAAAAGTATTTCTGACATTGTTAAAACTCCAATCTGGATCCTCATCAGCATGTGTGTTTTTTGCAAGTATTCATGTTTGGCAGTGTCTGTGAAAAAATGTTTTCCCCTGGGGACAATAAACGTCTTTCTATCCATTTAACTATCTGTCTGTCTGTCTGTCTGTCTGTCTGTCTATCTATCTATCTATTTATCATTCATTTGGGTCTATGTTCAATCTTTATTTCATATAACTAAATGGAATAAGTCAGGAATATATAAATAGGACTATACAAACCACCATAGTTTTGGCTACAGATAAAGTAGTTGGACAATACTTTTACTACTACTATAACTACGCACACTAACACACAGCAGCACAAATGAGAGTTATTGCTCTGCTACAACAACCCAGTGTTGGTTAGACAATTTGTTCTTTTTAAGTGGTGGTTTTCAGTGATCCTCTCCTGCAGCCACTCCATATTAAAACATGTACAGGGTATTCTCTAGTGTATGGCCCCTTTCATCGCTTCATCCTCCTCTGACCAGCATCAATAATTTAACATTAAAGCTATATGTGGAAATATGTCCCTGTTTGAAGAAGGGCCAAATATGGACTGCACCGTGGGTTACTGTATAACTATGGATTATTATATAGATTTTAGCAGCACTATTAGGCAAGTCTCACCAGCTGCCAAGGCCACAAAGGCTTAAACAATATGTACTGAATCAATTATTTAAAAAAACCTGATTGATTCCCAGCCTCCTATATCGTTTATGATCCCTCCTTTTGCTCTCAGTGCTAAGGCACTTCTCCTTCAGACTGAATGAAACTACTGCAGGTTTCTCAGATTGCTGTGTACAGTTTTGTATGATGCTTTTTTTTGTTTATTTATGGAGAACTGTGGGAGCATGGGTGTTGTAAGCTTGTGGGTTGAGCACTGCACAGAATCTTACTTCTAACCTTAAGGAGGGTTTGAATAGGGCCTATTCAAACCCTAAAATACTCACACATGCATGGATGGCATCTAAAACCTCTTCAGGCAAGTTTTAGATGAGGCAACAATGTTATAACACGAAAGAAAACTCAACTTTGCATAACATTCCTTCTTTAAAGTCTCTCGTCAAATATGAATTATAATTGAGTAATTATTTTACAAAACCTGTGTGAGGCCAAGCAAGCTGGTTATGAATTTTAATACTCTTTGCAAAGTAGATGTAGACATTAATAATACCAACATAGTATTAATAGTCAATTATTAATTCAGCTCACTTAATACGGAACTAAAATGAATTCTCTGGAACATGATTAAAAACGTCAAGCTAAAACAGATGTACAATTTTAAAATAGTCCAGTAGACTGTGGAGCTCAACAGTCCCACACACCTCTCGGGGTCTGTGAAATTCCAATTAATTTGTCACCCATAGAATTTAAAGAAAAAAGAAAGAAAAACGCATAACTAATTAGCATAATACACTTACTTTTATATATATTTCTGAAACTGTATAAACCTTAGATTTAGAAAGAAATTAAGGTTTAAAGTTTTTGGACAAAATGTATTGCCTAAAGGACATTAGTTACCACATAAAGTAGCTGATTAGCTCTTGATGTGCCTTTAAACTTGTAGTATTAGATTTTTTTGTTAAAGTCTATGGGACAAATCAAAAATAACTTCTGGAACCTGAGAGTGAGACTGTTGATCTTGCATAAGTTTAATATTACAGCCAAAAGAAACCCACTGTCTCTGCGTCTCCATTAAGAGCGGCGAGGTCCAGAGGAGTGCGCCCTTGTCTGTCAGGCTGGTTCAGGTCGGCTCCAGCCTCCACCAGGTGTTGAACTGCGGCTTTCTGCCCCTTTATACAGGCCCAGCTGAGAGCAGTCAGACCCTCCTGATCGACAGAGGACAGGGAAGCACCTGCAGGTAACAAAAGAATAGTGATACTGCAATGTTTATTTATTCTTAATTAGAAAAACATATGACATGATGGTCAAGTTTTTTTTATTTTATTTGGTGTTTTAATTCTCAAGCCATTTATCCAATCAGGAAACAGATGGAGCCTCTCATTTGGGTTGACAGTTCTATCTAAACACAGTTGAAAATAAGCCTAAAAGGACACTCTCCCATCTGAATCCTCACTACCTTAACCCCAGCATCTGTAGACAAGCATTAATCAGTGCTAGTGCATGTTCATATATTGAGAAAAGTGTAAGTGTCCTCTATATGTAAGTTACAACACTGGTATTCCACGTTCAGTTGTGATTGTGATTTTTTTTAACCCCTAAGAGCACAGGCCATATACCATACCTATAACACCTAAAAGATAATGTTTGTTTATCATTGTTATAGTGAGAGTATTTCATGTATCCTCATTGCATTGTCTGAGAGTAGAGACAGAACTGAGATGGACTGATGTAGAGATAGTTATGTTTTATATCTGTGCACAGTTATAAATAAAGTCACCATGGAATATTACAACTCTCTCAGTTTATTTTGTATTTATTCTTTTACGTGTTAAGACCTATGAAGAAATTCTACAACAATACCTTTTGCCATGAGGAGATCCAGGGTGCCTGTGTGACCCTCTGAAGCGGCCAGTATCAGAGCATTACGGCCCTGTTTATCTGTTACATTGATGTCAGCACCTTGTTTAATCAGCATCTCAGCAACCTGGAAACACACACACACAATCAGGCAATAAGAAAAAAACAAACAAACATCTGATTTAGACCTTGATTGAACTTGACCCACCCCATAATTTTGTACAATTCCACACAATTTAAAGGGTTTATACTATGCTATTTTCTAATCTATATTATAATCTTGTTTCCTCATCACAGACATACCCGGAGTTGTGTTTTTGTTTCATTCACCCATGTTTAACACAAGAGATCTGCATATTTAGGCTGTGTTCTTCTCTGCTCCACCTTGTGATGTCATGTGGTGACACAGAAAGAGCTCCACTGTGTTTTTAAACTTCATCCACCTTCACTAGAACAATTTGAATGATTTCAGACCTGAAATTGCCAATCTCTACTGAACTAAAAGTAAAATGTAGCTGGTAACTTGAAAACTACCACTTCATGACATCACAAGGTGAAACAAAGCATTCTGAGCTTTGGAGATATAGACAGACTAACAATAAAGGGTTACTCAAGCATGTGTGAATGAAACAAAACACAACTACAAGTATGTTTTTGATGATTATATAATATGCCATAAAGCTCACAAGAGTCAATGTTGCGTAATATAGGACCTTTAAACTAATACAAGAATCACATTTATTTGAGAAAATGTTACTAGAGATCAAAAATACTATGTTAACAGCTTTTAAACATAATGAGACAGCAACATTAGTTATTTATTTCAGATAAAATTATGCTAGTTAAATGATTGCAGTGATTACATTTCACTAATTCCATCTAATCAAATCATGCTTTTGATTACTACTTGCTTATACAGAAATGTAAAGCAGCAAATCTAACAGGGAAATTAAAATACCCTTTTGCAGTAGAACATCAATGTGTATTAGCATTCCCTGGAATATATAAATAAATAATGTAGTAAACAATGTAACTCTTCTGCCATTATCGTTCAGCTTTAAGACAACAAAGATGTGTTTAAGTGCAGTTCTTCTGAGGGTTTCTATGGGAAATTGGCATGTATTCTACTGGGGCTACACAACAGAATATGGGCTTCTTTGTTTATTACAGCTGTTTAAATCCTAATTGACAAGAGCTTCAAATAAATCTATACAGTGTTCTCTATTAGATTTTCTCTGCATTCACAAACCCCTATTTCGGACCATCATAACAGTCTTTAGTGCAGACAAATCAATAGGCAGACGCAGGATACAAAAGGACTAGAAAACAGAAAATGTTCTCATTCCAACTTCAAAAATGTAAAAACTCCTAAAAGGTCTAAACAACAAACTAATTACTTAAAGGTGCAGCATATAACTTCTTTGGTAGGGGATCTTCTACCTGTCTCCATGGGGTTGGTATAGTTTTGCCAAGAATGCTCTATATCAGGGGTCATCAAACTATCAAACCACTTTGACCGGCCCCCCCGCCCCTCTGCCCCCCACCATATGAACTGGCCCTATGAGGCAATCTTCAAAAGTTATCACAGTATATTTTATTTTACTACTTTTTGGCAAATAATAACATGTCTGCCTCTTTTGTTTGTATTTTGTTGATATTTTTGATTAAAAAGTGATATTTATATGAAGTATTTATATTTAAATAATTATATGACGTATTTACATTTGCCGCTGAATTATCATCACCTGACAAGCTCGAGATCAAACAATGACAGTCAACGCATGTGCAGAGTACTGTCGTGTAGTTAGTGCAATAAATGGAATATCTGTGGTATTTCAAATTAAAACAAAGATTGAAGTACTTATTACTTTCGCAAACCACTAGTAACGATAAACAAATATGTGCCAGGAAGTATGTAATGATAAAGTATTGTGGATTGCTGTGCCAGGTTAGTAATTTCTACTACACAATGAGGCGTGCTGGTGGTCATTTTGGTCAGGGTCATACAATTCTGTTATACGACCGACCCGACCCCAGCCCCCTATCACAGTCAGGACCAATAATGTGGCCCGCAGAAAAAAAAAAAGTTTGGTGACCCCTGCTCTATAGTATGGCATTAAACAGAAATTTCAGCAGAGACAAGAAGGTCATGCCACATCATATAGTAGAACATTCCAGGCAAAGCAATGGCATTTCCATGGAAACAAGCAGAACGCTAAACTTCCCACCAGAAAAGTCAGCCTTTGCAGTTTGTATATTGTGAGCATTCATTGTCTTTCTATTGTAACTCATCTTGCATTTGTATTCTTCTCATTTTGTGTATAAATAAACTTCCATACTACCTGAGTGTGTCCATGCTTTGATGCACTGAGCAGTGGGACCATCCCTCTGCGATTGGCCACTTCAAGCCCCGCCCCTTGGTCCAGGAGTAACGAGCATATCTCCATCCTCCCTCTCCCTGCTGCTGCGCTCAGAACTGTCAGGAAAGCACAACATAAAAGATGAGAAGATGAAACAAAAACTGCCAGGAATGGATTTGTAATTGACACGTTTACCACAGAAGAAGAGACAGAGAGAGAGTGAGAGCGGTGAGAAAGGAGCTGTGTGAATGATTTGCATTTTGTATTTGATTTAAATTCAGACGCTGCTGCATCTCATCAGATCATATCCTGGAGAAATGTGTTCAGCAACAAGCTAGCAAACTTCAGTTTTAATAAAATCTGATAAATGCCAGGGATTAAAAACTTTCACAGGAGTCACGACTGACACCAGAGCCATGCGCAGTGAAGATCTGCTACACAGAACAATAATACACCAGACTTTGAGCAGTCATTGTAATTTGAGGCAGACCGCCACCAAAGCATTATGGTTTTATCCAAGGAAATGATTTACACCAAAACAGTGACATATATTGTAGTTTCAGTCACCACAGAATTGCTCAATACGGCTTACTACTTTTTAAAGTGTCCATATTACATTATTTTCTGATCTATATTATAATGATGTTTCCTCATCAAAAAACATACCCGCAGTTGTGTTTTGTTTCATTCACATATGTTTAACAGACAAACCCTGCATATTTAGGCTGAGCTCTTCTTTCAAACAGAAAACACCATGTTCCACCTTGTGATGTCATGTGGCGAAACAGGAAGTGCTCCACTATGTTTTTAAACCTCACACACTTTCACTAGAATCATTTTTGATAATTTCAACTCTGGAATTGCTAATTTCTACTGAACTAAAAGATTAAAGGGAGGTGTTAACTAAAACTATTGATTCATGACATCACAAGGTGGAACAGGGCATTTTGAACTTTGTAGCAAGAACACAGGATTACTCAAACATGTGTGAATGAAACAAAACACAACTCCAGGTATGTGTGTTTGATAAGGTAACATCAAAAACGTAATATAAAACGTAATATAGAACCTTTAATGCTGCAAATTTCCCCAATGTGGGACAATACAATACCTTCACTTACCTATATACATCATTAAGTTAGTTAATTGAATATTTATTAGTTCAATGATTATTTATTAGTTTTTTACATTAATAAACAGCACTCTGCTATTGAAATTCCATGTAATGCTAAATCCATTTGGAGTTAGTAATGCAAGAACATACACATACAGTAATTATCATCACGTACGTCTGATATCTTTTCATGTATTTAACATGTTTATTAATTCAAACTATGCTAACATCATAATTAATAAAGCATTATTACTGTTAATGAACAGCAAAATGTCAATAATGTATTGGATTTATATTCATAAGTCCTCCCGTTATATGCAACATTTTTAGAACTTTTTGTCATTCAAAACAAATCAGCAGCATGTGGCCCTTTCTTCATAATTTAAAAAGGCCCATTTTTACATGATCAAATAAGGGCCACCTTCTGCTGAGATTTAAACGCTGTACTATGATTTTAAAGTATTTCTGTGCCCCAGTGATGCGCTCTACCTCCCCTTGTAATATTTTGTTTTAAATTGTTAATCACCATGACAACGGTCCAAATTTTTTATAACTCAGAAACCCATGGAAAGCTCTTCTTGTTGATGTGATCCCTCATACTCAGTCCAGGAGTAGCCCATGTTAACTACCTTAGAAACTGTTTTGGACTCTCAGAGATGCTTTAGATTGCATTATCCATTAATTTAACACCTCCAAAGCCTGGGTGACGATGAGCTACGACTGTACCCCAAGCTGCCCTTGGGCTGACTGATAGATGTGGCTGCCAAATTTAAGCCAATTATGTCACTGTCCACCACTCATCACTCATTCAAACATCACATTCATACTCAATATTCATCTGGCCATTTATTCATAATTTATTTGAAATATACCACAACTTTTACAACTTCTATTATAATGAACAGATTCCAGCAGCATAACTTTTCAGCTGAGGTGAATAGTTCAAGTTACACTTTTCTGTACATCGCTCGGATCTGCCTGGTAGCACAAAAATTCGCTCAAGGACATTTTATGGGCAAACTGTGGATCAAAATTAGTGCTCCACCCCCTGCATCTACAGCTTAAGCTAACAATGACAAACACCACATTAGAGCAGATAATTAAGCAGCTGAAGACAGAGCACAGCTATTGACGCCTGTAACTCACAGTGATGAATAACAGAATTGATCATGTGACCTCAATGAACCAATCAATGCCTTTATGTTGTCTATGTTGAAACATATAATCATGGACATTTACAAAACATAAATCTGATTGGTGCTCTCTGTTCAAGGTGAATGCAGTAAATAGTAACAAGGTTAGAGGGTTGACACACAGTGCAGCACACTGATTAAAGAGGGTGGGAGTAATTTATACTCATTTAACAGCAGTAGTCTCTAAATGATCTGGACTCATGGAAATCTTGTAAGAAAAGGCTCGATGGTTACTCCCACTCCAAAAACATTAAAACGTATTATTTGTGGTATGGTTATAATTTTAGACTTGTCTAGTTCATTTGATCCCTCTGTATAGTATAACCTAATGGTTATAAAACAATGAAGGAATTTGCTCACTGGCCCAAAAATGTATTATAAATAGTATATTCGACAATTGCTTAAGTGGCTGTTGACAGTAAGTGTTACAAGCCAAAAAATAAATCTAATAGCATTTGGCCGGTCTCCAGGTTGCAAGGTTTTTACAAGCCTTTTTTGACAACTTTTCTGGTGCAGGGTCCACTGCATACTCATCTTCATGGAGATGTTATTCTTATCTTATTTCTTATTCTTATTTTAGTTATTTGGATAGCATATATTAATGAACATTTAAAATGTAAATATGTAAAGATTATAGCCAACATGGTTAATTTCCATCTTCAGTGCCTCAACAGGTTGATGTCAAACAGTCTGCAGGACAGGATAAAGTACAGCAACAATCACACAAAAGCAAATGTAACACAACTGAGCATTAGAACTGAATTGCCTTTAATGTTCCATAGTATGGCATTAAACTTTTCCTTCTCCATGGAGAAAAAACAAAACAAAAAACAATCTGAATAAACACAAGATCGATATGATTACACCCATACTGTGGAACATTCAAGGCAATAACATCTCCATGGAGACAAGCAGAAGACGAGAGTATATGTCACCTTGTCTACCAAATCCTTTCATTGAATACTACAGCCAAGGACATGCCTATGTTAGGACAGTGGAGAACCCAAACATGAAGTAAATGATGGTCATTTGTCTCCAGGAGATGTCCTTCTAATTAATTGGCCATTCTCTTGAGAGTACACTGCCTTGTGCCCGTACAGAGCAAGTGTAGCCTCTAGCCTTTAGGAAATAAGAGAAAGAAGATGAATGAACTAAGAGCAGTGTAAGTGCTGCAAGCATCATTCGCTACTTATGTATGGCAAACACAGTATAACTTGGGGCTAGCCTTTACTATAACAAATGGAACAAGAGGAAATGTTAACTTTGTCCATTCCCTGAAGCTTAATGTGAAATTCGGTTAGTCCAGTCTAGTGCAGCAAAGATGCTCTACAAGCTTTCAGAAAAGGGGTCTAACTAAATTTAAATGTTTAAATTAAATAATGGGTGCTACCGAGCTCCTAAGATGCTACGGAGGAGTCCAGGGAGATGTGGATCAGGATAAATGGGATTCTGTTCTTCAGACAAAACAAAATAGAAAATTTAATAAACAAACAGAGCTTTGTCATTGCAAAAAGTGAAGGTACATATATGGGAAAAAATATAGTTTTCTATTCATTTTTATAGGTGGTTAATTAAAAAACATAAATTTAAACTTAAATTTTGTTGCTGGAGACGCTACTGCTTTGTTGGGAATGTTCCACAGTATGGCATTGAACGATCATCCAATTAGAAGTGTTTTTATTGGTCAATAATACCCTGAAAAACACAAATTCTTCCTCAGATCAGGCTGCCATCTGTTTAGTTTAATGCCTTACTATAGAACATTATAAGTAAAGTAAGAACATACCCATGGAGAAAAGCAGGTAGTGAACTCTCAATCGGAAAAGTTACATAATGCAACTTTAAATGATAGGCCAGGCTCAAAAATTGCAAATCCCTCTTTGGCAAATACACTGTAGTCAGTGTAACACTATTCTTTAAAAAGAGCCAATTGGACTTCAAAGTGCTCACAGTGCATTTCACCAAAGTTTACAAAACCAGCTGAACTGCAGAGCCTGAAGTCCCCTGGAGCATGACTCTAGATGTGCGATGTGATGGACAGAAAGAGGTAAAAGAGCTATATTTATCTGAGAAGAGAGAGAGGAGAGATAGGAGAGAGAGGGAGAGAAAGAAAGAGAGAGACAGGGAGGAGAGAGAGAGAGAGAGAGAGAGAGAGAAGAGGGGAGGGGGCAAAAGGATTAAAAAAGTGTGAGGAGAGAGGAGATAGGAGATAGGATAAGAGAAAGGAGGTAAAGGTAGAGAGAGAGCTAGAGAGAGATTGGAAAGAAGGAGAATTGAAGGAGAAGCAAGGAGAGTGCGAGAAAGAGAGAGATTGAGAGCGGAGAGAGAAATAAGTGACAGAGGGGAGAGAGGGTAAAAGAGCACAGATGAAAGAGTGGAGGATAGAGAGAGAGAGAGAGGGGAAAAGCAGCGAGAGAGAGTGAAGAAAGGAGGAGAAAGGAGAAGGAGAAAGGACAGAAGAGAGGAGCAAAGGAGGAGAAGCGCGCACCGGTTTCTCCCCAGAGAGAGTCGTGAGCGTCCATCTGCACCGCCAGCTGTTCGTCTTTCAAGTCCAGCAGGCTCCTCACAACCTGCAGGGAGACAGTTCTGTGTATTAGCCTCCGCTGTGCACTTGGAAAACTCCCAACTGTATCTCTGCACCTAATACATACTAATAGATATTTAAAGGCATGGTCTCCAACTAACAATTACTGAGAGGCATATTTAGGGTGGGAGAGTACAAGTGAATACAGATTTTAATTAAAATATAAAGAAAAACAGTTCTGTATGCCTATTCGAAACATTTGGACCATAGTCTAATTTATGTATACGTATATAATGTAGCATTGGGATGGCTTAAAGGGCCCATATTACACTGTTTTCTGATCTATGTTATAATGTTGTTTCCTCATCACAAACGTACCCAGAGTTGTGTTTTGTTTCATTCACACGTTTAACACAAACACTGCATATTTAGGCTGAGTTCTTCTCTCAAACAGAAAAAAAAAAACTCTGTTAAACAAAAGTTAAAAGGTAGCTGTTAAATTGAAAACTACTGCTTCATGACATCACAAGTTGGAACAGAGTATCTGGAGTTTTGGAGATGTAGACAGACCAATAAACCATGATTATTTAAAGTGAATGAAACAAAACACAACTCCAGGTATGTTTCTGATGAGGTAACAACATTATAACATGGCTTAAAGCTCACAAGAGTCAATGTTTGCCTAATATAGGACCTTTAAGAACCAAAATGTCCAAATGCATGTTAATCATATGTTGAATCACAGTATAGTTCATATAGATACATTCTGTATTGGGTCGAGATGGAGCTAGCAATAACAGGAGTGTTATTGTAGCAATAACAGCTGTCATGTTACAGCTATTTCCATTGGTAATATCACAAGAGCTATGAGAGCTGCAGGATTCATTTCAATAGCATAATTTAATGGCAGCAATTAGCAAATTGTGAGGACTGAAATATGCCTAAAAACACGACCTGCTCACCCAGTAATTAAGAGCTCTACAAACCTGTTCTGAAATTAATGTCATTCTTTCAGTTTAGCATTTCACATTTCAGTCGTATCTAAAAATGCTCCGGACATGTTTCAATTATTCACTGGGAGCTGAATTAATGTTAAAGATCCTATATTACACCATTATAACAATGTTATAATGCTGTTATCTCCTCAAAAACATACCTGGAGTTGTGTTTTGTTTCATTCACACATGTTGGAGAATTGTTACTCCACTCCAAAGTTCAAAATGCTCTGTTCCAACTTGTGATGTCATGTAGTGGTAGTTTTCATATTAAAAGCCTTTTAACCTTCTGCCTTTTGTTCAGAAGAGACTGCCAATTTCAGGGCTGTAATTTTATCTAAATGATTCTAATGAAGGTGTCTGGAGTTTAAAAACAAAGTGGAGCTCTGTATTACCACATAACATCAAAAGGTGGCACAGAGTGTTTTCCATTTAAGAGATGAACTCTCAAAGTCTGTGTGAATGAAACAAAACACAACTCCAGTTATGTTTTTCGATGAGGAAACAATATTATAACATACAGTAGATCAGAAACACTGTAAAATAGACCCTTACAACTCGAAAATGTAAAACATATAAGAACAAATTTCACTGCAATGGTACCTGTGTGTGTCCTAAGCTCGCAGCAGCTGTTAGCGCCTGTTGCGTAGCTTGCTTCTTCGTGGTTATGCTCTCGTTGCCATGGTGCTGCTCAGTTTCGGGGGGGTTGTCTGGTCCCCAGTCTTGCCCCAGCAGGTTGTTGATGATCTCGCTGTGGCCTTTGAGGGCGGCGTGAACCAGCGCGCACTGCCCACTCTTATCGGCGTGCCCCACCTGCCACACACACGGTGAACATAAGGACCTTACACCTCTGCTGGACACTGCTCGGAAATACACTGGCCTATATTGCTCCGCATGTCTGTGTCCAAAAATAGACCTGGACAAATCAGGGCTTTTCAGGAAATCAGTGAGGACAAGTTTCTGTAGAAAAGGGTCTGCAGCTAATGCTAAAAGTTTGGTGGAGCTGGATTTCAAGTTTCTCAATGGAAACTAAGTCTGACAGTTGGAGAAAGTGGCATATTCACAGGTTTCAAGCTATGCCAAAAGTGTTTCGTTACTATAGCAATAACAGATTTCAACAGACTAGGGCAGGCAATGGAGATCCCAAACCCCCCCCCAAAAAAACAGTGTTCAATCTTTTAATGGGGAAAAGTCCTCACTAAGTCCTTCAAGTCTGGAATAAATCATTTGTGTGAAACCCATAAATTCTTGGATTTAAAAGTGAGAAACACTATTGTTAAGGGTATTTATTTGTTTATTTTTTATCAGATCTGCTTTATAGATATACAAAATCATCTTAAATCCTGTAGTCTGTAGTAATAGAATATAGGAATTGTTTGCCTTCAATTATCACAAATATACTGCATTGTAAACCATAAAAATAAACAAAACAAACTGAGAGTTGCAAACAGTTTGTGACACATAGCAATTGGTCTGCATATTGTCCAGCAGACCTCTCCAGTATGGTGCATGTGCCTCCAAGCTCTCAGTCACATCTTCCATCTGGTTCTTTCGCCCCCTCCAAGATCTCTCCATGCCCTCCCACGAGACCACTCCTAAAACTGAAAATCCCTCCACTATTCATGCTTATTTCAGATTATTGTTAAACCATTTTGATGACTTTCGACTGTTCAAAAATATAATACTTTGTTCTGAAATGGTAATTACTATGGCAACAGATTTCATTTTTTCATCACTCTGAAACCCATGGATAGATACTTCTCTACCACTTGCACAACTGGAATTTTAAATTGTTTTGTAATTTTTTTAAATACTACAAAAGAAAAAAAAGAAAAAAGAATAATTAAAGAATAAATAATAATTAGAATTCTCCATAGTACAAATTTTAAACAAAATCTTTTTTGGTTGACTAAAACTGTTATGGATTTATTTGACTAAATTAGCATTACATTTTCGTGGACTAAAACTAGACAAAAACTAAAAATCATATACTGTAAGCCAGAGGACTAAGGCTACAATTTCTAGTCTTAAAGAACACTGATTACAACTACCTTTACTACCACAAATGTCTCTCCAAAATTAATTCAGAACAAAATATAACTTCTTATACCCGTGATAAATAATATTTTTGTGCTTTGACTGTTAATTCTGTAAAAATCCAAGCTGTTTCTCAGTCTTTTATGATATTTTTTCCCATTTTTTACGTGTAAACCACCATGTTTATTTTTGATGAGAATGGACCATGCGTCTCTCTGGTTTATCTGCTTGTCAATCACATCCTCTGAAATCGGGGAGACATGATACGACTCCTGATCCACTTATCTTTGTAAAGTTTTGTCAAAGCATGCGGTTCTGGCAGGTCAGGTTACCAAATATTCCGACAAATATCTGAATCCTGTAGTAATATTTACATCACTGACCTTAGCTCCTTTCTTGCAGAGGAGGATGACGATGTCGGTGTGGCCCGCGGACGCTGCCAAACACAGGGGGGTCATGCCGCTGTCTGTGGTCCCATCCACTGAAGCCCCCATCTCCAGCAGCAGAGTGACCATCTCCAAATGTCCCAGATGGGTGTGCACTGCCAGAATCGGGGCGTGACCCACCACCTCTGTGCACCAGGTCACACTAGCACCACCTAGCATCAGCAAACGACTCACCTGTGGAATTAAAAACAATGACAACCATTAATTTAGAGTTTGCACCTCTAATTAATTTTAGAGTGTAAGTCATGAGGAAAACACTAGGTTAGAGATTTCTGACGAATAGCAATTAAAGAAAAAATAGAATGTATTTGTTAACCCTTCTTGCTATTAGGTGGCTATAAAGTAAAGTCCAGTAACTTTACTAGTGGCCCACTCATACATGAAAGAATTACTTAAATTTGCATTGTCACTCTGTCTAAAAGGTGCAATGTGTAACTTTTCTAGTGAAGGGTCTTCCACCTGCTTGTCTCCTTGGAGATACCGTTGGTCTGCAATGTTCCACAATACTGATAAAGGTTCATTCTCTCTTCAGTTTTAAGCTTAGAAAAAGTACAAACTGTCCAGTCTGACAAAAAGAATCACTAGTTTTATGTTATTAAACATATTTATCTCAACTGAGAAGCACGTGATGCCACATAGCCAAGTTACTAGGGGTATAAGAAAAAAATTATTCAGTGATATATCATGATACTTCATTGTGTGATTTTCGTATTGATTCCAAATGCATCTGAATTGATTTTTTCTAATGCTCACGATTTTAAAATCTAACTTTTAAATTAAAGTGTATTTCATCTCAGTGTGTTTTGTTCTTATGAAGGTGTACTCAACCATAATATTATACATAATTATTGATAAATCACAATATATCAGCCTGTGTGTTAGTATCAGAATTTATTGTGATATATTAAATTGTGACAGGCATTTCATGATAACTATTGTAAAGCCAGATTCATGGCAATGCACACCCCTAGGAGTTACTGGTTGGATCTGCTGGTTTTAATGCCATGTGGAACATTAAAACCAATGTAACATTTTTGTGGAGGCAGAGCTCATACCAAAAAAGTTCAGAGTGGCTTTGAATGGGTCTAGCAGACAACCTCTTTTAAATTGTATGAGTACATTTTGCAACAGTAGCTCTTTTCTCCTGTACCCCGGTGTAGGGCAGGAGGGTGTCACCTTGATGTTTGGTGTGTAGAGGTTCCTGAGGGAGGCCAGAGCCGCAGAGAGAGAGTCAGTGCTGCAGCTCACCCACATGGCCTGCAAAACACTGGATGAAACACCCGTCTTCTTACTCAGGCCCTGGATGAAATGAGGGAGAGGGGCATGGAGCGGAGAGAGAGAGAACAGAAAGATTGGGAAAGTGGGTGGGGAAAGAGATAGAAATAGGGAGAGGACAAACGAAGAAGGAGAGAGAGAGAGAGAGAGAGAGCGAGAGGGACAGAGCGAGGGAGGAGGAGAAGAGTGAGAGAGTGAAAGGAGAGGGAGAGAGAAGCATGGAAAAGGGAGAGACCAGAAAGATTTGCAAAGAGGGTGAGGAGAGGGACAGAAAGAGGAAGAGGACAACGAGGGAGGGGGAAAGGGAGAGACAGAGGATGATGGCACCAGAAAGGTAGAGAAGGAGAGGGAGAGGGGGTACAGGGGCAATAAAGAAGAGAGGAAAAAGAGAACAGAACCTCAGACATTGACACTCACAGTACTTCCCCCCCAAATGTACAATCGCTGTCCGCACCCCCTCTAAGTCCACCAACCCTTCCATCAACGTGAGAGAGAAACAGAGTGAAAGTGAAAGAGAGTGAGAGAAAGGCAGAGAGACAGAGAGATTTAAAGAGAGAAAGAGAAAGACAGAAAGCGAGTGAAAGAGAGATAGAAAGAGAGTGAAAGACAAACAGAGAGCTAGAGAGAGAAAGACAGAGAGAGAGTGAAAGAGTGAGAGAAAGAGAGTGAAAGAGAGAGAAAGTGAGAGGGCTCTAATTAACGCCAGAAAAGCAGCATGCCTCTACTGTACTTGATCACAAATTTCATTAAAGGGATTATGAAAGAGCAGAGAGAGAGGTCAAGAGTTTCAGTTTTACATGAAATTCACTGCAAATGTGACACCAAGTTTCACACCAAAACTGATTATCGAACCACCACAAGAGCCCATGTTAAATTAGCTTTGTACGTGCTTTTAATTTAAGTGGATGACCTTCAGTGCTAGTTAGAACAGAGCCAGAGAAATTCTAGATAATAAGAAACTGATATTGTAATAATTTTGCTTAGGGATGCAGCACCGAATGAAAAAGTACCTGTATCGGATTTTGGCTTCCAAATATCAATTAAACTGATCTTCTGATTGGACAACCCTAGAAAGTCTCTAAATATTATGTGAACTTTTATTTATACAAAGCTGTTCTGTAGTTACTTATGGGATAAATAACAGCTACATGACACATTTGGATCAGTTTTGTCTTATTTTATTTGTGTTTTAAGGAAATATTTGGCTTTTTTATCACTGCACTGGTATTGGTTAATTAATTTGCAAATACTTAAAGCCATAGTATCGGAATCAGGATCGGAACTGAAGACGCTGGATCCATGAATCCCTAATTTTGCTGCAGTAACTTTTTTACACTTTTTACAACACTATTAAGATGCTGTCCATTCATTGTATTAATATTTCCCAGTGCTGTTCTAACCTTGTGTAATGAGGATTTTTTTGTTATTCACAAATATAAAGGAAACAAAGTGCCTTATTTTTATTTATTTTATTTGGAGTAAATTGAACAATTCCATTGATTCTTCAGTTTGACTAAATCAAACACAAAAAATAAAATAGCTATTCATAGTCTCTATTTTCATCTCAATATTCCAGCACCTCTGCAGTTCCTGATAAACTTTTCGCTGCCCTTTGTTTACGCTTCAGGGCCAACAGCAAAACAACATGAGAATTTTAACTTTTCTTTTAGTTTTTTTTAAAAGTACCTCAGCTGTGTCCCTGGAATAAATCAATAGTGTAGAGTTTTAGCCTTTGTGAAGTTTCAATACAGTGGGAGTTTGTGTTCATGAATTAATGTGACTGGATTGTGCGTGGGAGATGATGGGACCAAAGCTGGGTAACTGTTCTGTGTGTTCTGAATTATTTTAACAAGAAATAGTACATCAACTTTCAAGCAACAAACAAGACCAAGAATGAATAGAGGCCAACTACTAAATTATTTTATTGAATGTGGAAAAGGGGATTGTAAAGGCTCTACTCACCCCACTTGTGTTTGTTTTTAATTAAATGAAAGTCAATGTTGTCATATCTGTGCAGTTTTAGTCTAAAGGGCACATTTTATGCTATTTTCTGATCTATGTTATCCTGCATTTTTAGGCTGAGTTCTCAGTGCCATGTGGGTTGGAGTGCTCCACTGTGTTTTCAAACTCCATACACCTTCACTAGAGTTAGATAATTTCAGCCCGGGAATTTCCAATCTCCATGAATTCCATGGTTTAAAGATCACAAGAGCCAATTTTAACATAGGACTTTTAAGTAGTAAAACCCAGTGCTGAAAATGCTATCGATTCAATTGATAAATTAAAAAGATTAAGTCAATGAAAGGTTACTGCTGTGAACTACCATTTCTTCAGTATGTAGTTGGTTAAATAAAATAATATAAAAATTATGTATCAAGGAGTCCAGTTATGAAAAAAATTATGTTTTCAAATAGACCAATCATAGACAGTATATGAAATATAATTAGTTAGAAGTAAGTTAGTTAATAGAAATTAGAAAAAGAAAATTCATGGACCTATTATCCTGTTTTAGTTTTTAAATCATGCTATTAAAATTACATACATGTATCACCATCAAAAACACCTGAAGTTATCATTTATTTAGTTTGAGCATTTTTCAATTATTATCTTGTGAAATATCGTGATACTGTATCGCCAAAACTGTCACAATAATATGAAGAGCGGTCACAATATATCGAATTACATGTTCCTTTGGTTACATGCATTGTTTTACAGTAGCAACAGCTAATAAACATAGGGAACTACATATCCCATGATAGCGCAGACAACATGAAGAAATATATTTTTTACATAAATTCTTGGAATTATGACGGTAATGATTTGCACCTAAGTCTTGTCAAGGTATTTTAAATGCAAAAAGCATCCGGTCTACAATTACATTAACCACTCCAAAATACCACAATAAATACTGTACCTTGAAATGAATATAAATGATACCATACCGTAAGATTTAGATATCGTTACATCCCTAGTTATTATGCACATTTATTCAGTCACCTCTAGCTCCTAAAAACATAATATAGAACCCTGAATCACTTAACAATGACTATAAAATTTAATTTGTGTTACCTTAAATATATGAGCCTTGAGAATGTGGTGTCCTAGTTCCATGGTCTGCTGCCTGTTGAGTTTGCCCTCCTGTCGAGAGAACATGAAGGCCAGCAGTGCATGCCCGCTCCTGGAGAAATACAGTTAGACTAAATTATCAGCTCATCTTCTGTGAATGTATCTGTGTGTGTGTGGCTTTAGGACATATGTGCTCAGGCTGTTCTGTGTTATGGGCCTGGACCACCCTCACCTCGGGTCACAGAGGAAGTCATTGCTCTCTCCATCTGCTCTCCAAACCAGCCACTCCCTGAAGGACGGGTGACACAGCATACGCGTGCCGTCCCTTCGCCGAACCTAAACAGTGGGAGCAAGGACGTGGAAATACAAAGTGAAATCGGGATTTATTCCATAACTTAAAGGCCCCATGTTATGCTGTTTTCTGATCTATATTATAATTTTGTTTCCTTATCAAAAGCATAGCTGGAGTTATGTTTTGTTTCGTTCACTCATGTTTAAAACACAAATTTTGCATAGTTCTTCTTTAAGACAGAAAACACTCTGTTCCACCTTGTGATGTCATATGATAATGCTGGAAGTGCTTCACTGTGTTTTTAAACTCCATACACATTCGCTACAATCATTTAGATGATTTAAGACCTGGAATTATCTATCTCTACTAAAGAAAAGGTAAATGTTAGCAGTTAACTTGAAAACAGAGCATTTTGAGCTTTGGAGACTAATAAACCAGGGTTATTTAAAGTGAATGAAACAAAAGACAACTCCAGTGATGTTTTTCAAGAGCTGACAACATTTAAGTAGGACTATGCAAGGTCTGACTCTGGACTAAACCAGGACTAAGGGTGCATTCACGCCTGTACTTCTTTGGTTCTTGTTTGAGCCCACATGTGGTGTTGGTGCACTTGGAAACACAACCTAAAAAAAGTCCTCCTTGTGACTAAACCAGTACTATTGTTAAACCTGTTTTTCTCAAAACTTAAAGGTTGTGAAAATGGATTGTGATTATAAATGTCAGAAGAATTTTGAAAAGATAATTGTGCTGATTTTATAAGTGAAAATATGTTATTATAATTTATTCAGAACTCAACAGATTTTTATAATAAATGTCACATTACCAGAAAGTTTGATTGCAAAGACATGGTCACGAGTACAGGAATGGTAATTTGTTAGAAACTGTGAATTACAATTTTTTTTTTGTAATTGTGACAAATGTAATGTTTCTTCTCTCAGTGAAATAGTGTTCAGATGTTTCATTACTTCTTCCTGTTGTAGACATTATTTTGAGTTGTGTTAAAATATGTTAAAGGTAATGGTTAATTTATCACTCTGAACCTCATGTATAAATAACATGAAGAAATTATAAAAAGCACCAACAGTAACTTCAAGACTAAAACCATTAAGTGTATACACTGCTGAATTAACTCTAAAGTAGGGACTTTCGTACATGTAAAGAAAACTCAAGGAATACCCAATAATTTAATTTCATCATATTACAAATTATGACCCTTACCATGAATCCAGCCAGACTGTCCAATCTCTGCTGGAAGTCGCTCCACTCCAGGCCCCCGCTCACGCTGCCTGCATTCAGCGCTCTGAACATTTGCTCGTCAGTTAGAGGGTGAAGAGACGCCAGCGTCACGTTCAAAACAGGAAGTACACGTTCAAATGCCTCTTTATCCGGGAAACTTGCACGGCACATGAGCAGATAAACCTTAAAACACACGCAGAAGTCAATTATCAGTAAAGTGATGTGGGATTTTAAAGGTGCATTGTGTAACTTTTCTGGTAGAGGGTCCGTCAAATGTTTTTTTCTGTAGAGATGTTATCTATGTGTTTATACCTATTTATTCTAGCTATTTTTTAGGAGTAAAACCATCTGTAATTGAATAAATGCAAGGTAGAGCTGTTAAATGTCATACTGTGGAACAATCCAGGACAAACAATGACATATCCATAGAAACAAGAAGGCGATAGACCCTCATCGAAAAACTTGCCTTTAAATATGAACTAAGACATTATAAAAATGAACCAAATCAGTTTACAGGGCAGTGCAGTTAGTTTAACTTTAAGTGTAATTACTCAAAACTGTTCAGTTTATCTGTGCATATGATTGAATTAATGTTAATCTTATGTTATTATTTATGTCTGATTCATTTATAGTTTGATTTTAATGTCTTTCTTATTCTGTAAAGCACTTTGAGTTACTTTGTGTACGAACTGTGCTATACAAATAAACGTGCCTTGCCTTGCCATTATGATCATTTCAATTCATTACATAAATAGTTTTCTATAAGCTGACTCTAAGCATTTGCAGAATAAATAAGAATAAAATAATATGTGGAGATCCTTAATTACCAATGTGGGTTTACTTCTACAACTAATAGCTTTTACGCTGGAGTAAAGACTTAATTAGGTCTATGAAAATGAGATGCTCAAGTGCCAACTCTTAAATGACTAACAATAATAATTTCTTGTAAAATAAGTGGGCTACATATGCAGTATAAAATTTGTATTTTTAATTCAATGTATTTATTATGAAAGGACAAACTACAACAGGACATAGGAGGGAACAAAAAAATAAAAGTATAGCTGGTATGATTCTAGATAAAGTCTGGCACATGTTGCTGTGGCATATTTGTCCTTAAATTAACTGAAAGGGTAGTTTCTTCCAAGTTTTATTCCATTTCCATAACGTTTGCATATAAAAATAGATACTAGTCTGCATTGGATTTGCTTCTCATAAATAAAACTGTGAGAAACCTATACCTCAGCTTAGCCAGCAGAGTAGGATCAACAGGGGCCAGCTAAGGCAGTTCTGCTTCACTGCACGGCAAACAGAAAATGACTCGCACAGTCCGTATATTCTAATACAAAGATAAATACGGTAGACTTTCTTGTATTATTTATGTGTATATTTAACTTGAAATTGGTTAAGATAAGATAAACTATTATTTCTCCCACATTGGGGAAATTACAATGTTGCAAAGCTAAGATCAAGAACAGCAGGAAAATAAGAACATGCAATCAAGTTAAAGTGTGATGGTTAAAGCTACACTGAGTAGCTTTTCTGGTGGAGAGTCCGCCACCTGCTTGTGTCCATGGAAATGTCATTGCATTGCCTGGAATGTTCCATGGTAAGACTTTACTGTAAACATTTCCATCTACCACGTATCCGTTATGTTTGTTTCTATTGCTCAAAAATACAATAATTTCTTTTGTAAATAAGAACGACTCTCCACAGATCTGAATTGTAATGTAGTATAGTTTAGAAATGTCACGCAGTGGACCTTTATAGTATCATTTAAAAATGTCGTAGGAACATTATAATTGTTCAAGAGTAAAGATAATACATTGCTGATACTTTGCTAAGTCTACTAAAAATAATCATGCAGCCCCTAAATTCTTATCCAACAGAGTCCTCTACTTATCCAGGTTTGGGACTGACACAAAAGACACAAGAGACAATGGTAAATGAACTTGTGTGCTTGGATTTCACCGTTTCCCATACTTTTCTATATTAATATTTTGCCCCACACCTCAGCATCACACAGTGTACTAATAACACATCTGTTGTTCTGTTCCACACTCATTTATACAAAATTAAATGCCTGTCAGTATTGCTTCTGTAACCGTGTGCTATTTTCGTCTGCTTGTAAAACCTATTTGAAGTAGCTATTTAATCTCTCAGTGATGTAATCTGGAAACAGCACCTGCTCTTATGTGTTTTATTTGAAAAACACAAGCATGAACACTGCTTGTCACTTGTGCACCTTTGTGGCAATTTTACGGACATTGATTGCCTTTAGACGGGAGTAAAAAGTAATTTCACAGCACATAGCTCTTCGGGATGACGCAGGGTTACACAGGGAATTTGATACACCGGCAATTTAGAAATGCCTTACATGAAAAACCTGTGCAAACCTTCCTTGAATATTGCAATAATGATATGAAACACTATTTGGAGATAATAAGTTAAATATAAATAAGTCTTTGTATTTCCACTCACGAGTATTTCTAAATCTGGTTTGTTTCAATGTGTTTATAAATCCTTCAAAATGCTATCTGTTAGAAAATCTTACAATTTCCTATACTTTTAAACAAAAAATAAGCACAATTCTTTTTATTTCCAGGGCAAAATGTCAGTCAGTATACTTCTTATTAAAAACAAGTAAAATATAACATAAGCATCCTCACAATAGTATTTGTGGTTCAGTATGTAATAAATATGTGGATACAATATAATGGGTAATATAAGTAACATGGGTCAATAGTTGGGGAGGTCGCAGGTGGTGATAGATCGGTTTAATGTTGTTCTGTGGATCATTCCAGATAAAGCAATAACATCTCCTTGGACACAAGCAGGCGACAGTCCCTCCATCAGAAAAGTGACAAAGTGCTCCTTTAATGCAAAGTTCACTCATAGTCCCTGCCCTCTATTGAGCTTCAAAAGTGAAATGTCTTACCTCTGACAATGAAACAGGCACGACTAGATAGTTCCCTCCTTTTATGGCCAGGTGTCCCTTATGAAACAGGTCCAATGTGAGCTGGAGGTACAGGACAGACCCATTGCTCCGAGAGGACAGGTGGCTGCTGAATTTACTGAGCAGGAGCAGGTCGGGGGTGGTGCCTGTTGCCGTGGTGACGTTGGCGGCGACGCGAGAGCTGTTGTTGACCCGGTGGTGAATGTAATCGCTAAGGTCGGCCCCCAGGTCACTGCTGTCTGGCAAAATGTCCAAAGAGATGCCGGAAAAAGGGAGGAGAGTGGTGATTTCCTACAAGAGATGGAAAATAAATAAAACAAGGATTTGATTAAAGAGGGCTATATGGAGTTGTGACATTTAGAAGTGACTCAAGTGAGAGAACAGCAGTGACGGGAGTCATCATCGGCAAATAAAAAAGCCAGAATATAGCTCAAAGCATTTCACTGCAATAAAATATACAATACAATAACAAATGTAATATCCATTTGGTTATTATCTTCATCACAAGGGGAACAGTGTTTTCCACTTTAGCAAAGATAACATCCATGATCATTCTGCAACCAAAGGCCTCCAAAAAGTTTCTTGTTGGACTCTGACAAAGCCAGCATTGTCTGCTGGGCATTTTAACACAATAATTACAAATTAACAAATGAATTAATTACCTAACCCCTGAATTAAGTAGTTACTAAGCCTGACTCGTTAATTTGAACATAATTTGTTCATTATGAATTAAAGTGCCCCCCATGCATTTCAGCTAAATCTGTCTAGCTGCAGTACAGATATATTTTATAAGCAGCTGACATGGTTTTACACATTTCTGTTGCCTTCCCGATTTGGGGAAGATAAAGTCAAAACATTTTAGAAACAATAAAATGTTTGAATGCAAAGAAAATTTATGGGAATATCTTTTTTTTAGTTTTGATGTGTTCTGTTCACAGATTGCAATCTAATGCAAGTGAGGAGGACCGTCATCGAGCCACTGGCGTCTGGTCATCCACTGATAAAAAAAAAAGACCCTCCACACACTCATCTTCCTCTTTGTCCTCACTGCTGGACTGGACCCAGTGAGCTGTAGTCTCCAATGCACAAGGTGTGATGGAGGGACTGCCCCAGCGGGCTGGAAGATGGACCTGGCTGGCTGCAGGATGGACTCGGTGGGCTGGGAGTGAAGTGGATTTCAGTTATATTTTAATGTTACAGTGTGGGAAGAAGAAGGATGACTTGTGGCTTGTCTTAATTTTTAATTAAAGCCCCGTAGCTTACTTTAAATAACATTAATTACATAACATTAGATGGAGCATAAGCAGGTCAGCAGAGTATGGACCTCAGATAATAATTTACAAATGGATCTTTGCCTTCAGTTTGTAGATTGAACACTGGTAATCCACAAAGCACATAATGATACTGTCTATTTAAAAATGGTTTACAAGTATTATCTTGCATTATTGTTACTGTATCAAAGGCATGAGGTAGTTTCAGTATAATCATTTATCGCAGTATATCTCTGTTACAATATATTGTGCATCAAAATTTGTTATCATGACAGACTTACTTGGATTAGACAATACATCTATAATATCAATGTTTGAATTTAATGTATAAAAAAATGTTGTTGGTGGACAGAGCCTCACTCTTGAAAGTCTATCCCAAACTGTAGCTAAAAAGTAGCTTAAAACAATTGAATGAATACATGAATACTGAATGTTGCTTACCGTATTAACTTATTAACACTTCATGACATCACAAAGTGGAACAGGACATTATGAACATTGTAAATGTAAACAGACTAATAATAAAGGATTACTCAAACATGGGAATGAAACAAAACCCAAATCCAGACATGTTTTTGAGGAGATAACAACATTATAACACATAATAAACTTGAGTCAATTTTGCGTTATATGGGACCTTTAACTTAGAGTCTCCAGGGTTGGTAGCACATATTTGCATGTTTATTGGTTAACATTACCCTTGTTATTATAAAATGCTGTCACAAAAAATAAAAACTCTTGATTATATTATCTTGTATAAAGTTGGTGAACTCTGGTTTTTCAAATTTTCCTATTGGCAGCAAAGCTGATTTCTTCCTATGACATGTAATTTACAACAGTCTCTCCACTGCATTACCAGGACTAAACCAGCTCTAAATTAATGGATTAATCCTTATCAATTATTATAAAAATCAATGACCCATTTCAATAATCGATTAACATTATCTAATGTATAAACACATTCTTAGACAAGATGACGACCAGAGGCATGACTAAAGATTTTGGTCTATCCACAGTAGGCCTAAAATAGCAATAACGCAGGGGGCTTCATGACCGGCTGCCATTTAAAATCAAGTGAGCGTGTCCTCCGTGTCTTCAGTGCATCAGGCGATGAAAAATTAAAAGCAGCATAATCAAAGCCCCTTCCTGAGATGCCATAGGCTGAGTCACCCTGGGATACAGAGCAGTAATGGTGTGACAATGACTCAAGGGCCAACACAGCTCACACACATCGGATTCTGTCTCTTCTCTCGCCATTTCCAACGTCAAAACATCGGCCAAAACCTGCTCTAACGGTAAATTAAAAAAAAAAAATCCATTCACTCACAACTAAAGGACAATGACGTAATACACTGACGGCATAAGTAGCCCCCACTGTGAGTTGAGCATCAGTTATTGAGGATAGTGAAATACATTGGTTGAGTTGGTTAGGTCAAATTTCAAGGCATGTTTTATAGTTTCCGGGCACATAGTGAGCAGTATTTTGATTTGTGAAGTATAAATGATGTTTATTGCCTATATTTAATCTTTAAGTAGTCCTTTTAGCTCAGTATAGTTATTTTTAAATGTTCATGATAATACGAAGGGTGTGATTTTGTGATTGTCCAGGTTGATTTTAGACTAAAGGGAGACTTTTAGACTGTGGGGGAGTTACCATAGTCTCATTTTTTATCATTAACTCTGAAATTACCTGTCTTAAAACATGACACAACTTTTCCAAGTACACCATGACTATGCATACTGCTTTATTTCACATAACTTTAAAGATGCTACTCTGTGAATAGGTATTGTGAATCATCTATAAAAGCATACTTATATACATATACAAGATCTTGCCTGTAGTTGGGAACTTGTTATTGTTGCCTAGCAATTGCTCCAGTCCATGACAAAGAAAAGACCCTGAATGTGTTTTGCATATTTCCAAACTATAATCCAATTGTGTAAATCGCTGGCTGCCTCCAGGATCCAGACTTCCTGTAAACTCTGGTAGTTTTACATCCACTCAGGGCCTAATCCCGGAGGCTTGGCCAGGGCCACGAGGCAGATGCGGGTGCTGTTTGGCAGGATTACCCACCGGATCGAGAAAATACATCAGACGGAAGTAAGCGACGCAGCCAAATGCCACACTGCCTATATCACGTCAATAAAATGTAACTCAGAGTTTATCAAAGACAAAAGAAAACAACCAAGTTTAGAGTTGCTAATTTAGGCAAGGAAACATTTGGTTCACAAATCCTGCCCTTTTGGCACTGAGATAACTTCATGACTATTTATATGGGTGAATAAATGAAGAGAAGAAAGCTGCCTTTAACCAATCTTTCTTTGTGGGGTTTTATGTGGCATGAAATAGCAGATGTAGAGGTGGGAGATAAATCGCCTGGGATTCAGCCTCTCTGTATATTCTATGCAGAAAATCTCTCTGTTTGTTTGACAATGTCTGTTTGTTTGGATCATTCCATGTGTGTCCCTGATAGGCTAATCCACCTGTCGTTCACACCTATTTTACCACACCTAATTAGACCCATTAGTGAAACAACAAAAAAATTGCAGGTTAGAACTGTATATTTCTCCAATTTATTTTTTTGGTAATTTCACCATCTATTCACATTTGTATGGAACTTCAACTGAAACATTTATAGGCACTTTTCAGTAGTGTAATAGTATAATATACATGATGCAATGCCTATATTAGACATAACATGACTTTTAATAGACTGAACTCACCAGAAGGCCGGTCCTGACAGTTACCACCAATTTGAGCCAATGTGGAAATTTGGAGATTATTTTGGTGATGAAGGCTGCAATGGTGTCACCATAATCTGGTTTATGAAACTCTGCCTCGTTCAGACTGTCCACCAAAATGATGTAGTCCTCATCAGGCAGCCTCTTCTCTGGAAACACAAAAGACACAATGGACTTGGATCACACTGGAAATTTGAGAAAATGTGTCTCAATTTGATGTTCCTGCACAACCATGATATGTTGGATGGGAAACAATTCTGGCACAGTAGTTGGGTCTGAACTGGCAACGGCATCTGGAGATCCATCCAAATCCAAATCACACATTTCTGTTTCTGTTTTGTGAGATGTGGTGATGTTTTGTGGAGGTAGGTGGTAGATGTGTTGAGGTGCAAAATGCAAAAAGGTGGCTACTAGAAATCATTGCATGATTGATTTAAAAGCTGTGCTATGTAATTGTGTAGGATTTGTACCTGTAAATGTCTACAGCAATAATTTTCAATCAAAATTTCTGCTAAAACACTTGGTAGATGGAATAGACTTGTAATTGACTGTTGTCAGTAACCACAAGCAAGAGAGGACAGGCCTAGTCAAAGCTGTGTCTTTATACATTGCCTAACTATTACTGAGTATTAATGAGAATTTGAGAGAAATTAGTATTTCTTCTATACCAGTACAATTGTACCACCACTTTAACAGGTTTTGGTACCAACAATTGGTACCAACATTCTTTCATACAGTAGTGGTACCCTTTAACAGTACCCAGCCCTAATTAGAATGTAAACAAATTGTGTGTATGTTTTGCCTGCATAAGAATAAACATGAAAAACTTTAAAGTAACTATTCATGATCCAAGAACATAAAGTTGAAATAGACATATGCTTTGACATCTGGTCTGGGGCCAGGACAAAGCATGTATTGTTTTGCAGCTTGTCTCACGCAGAGAAAAACACCAACTGCCGGTATTGATTACAGTCTGCTATAAAGAGGAGCAGAGGCCGCTGTAGTTTATTAGGCTCAAACTGGACGTATCCATCACGCTTCAGATGATGCGCGCTGTCACCTCCCAGCATTGAGGACTTATACATTCACGCTCTCCATTTTAGCCTAATAGAGATCAAGTAGACAAAACACTCCTCCTTTTCCAGAAAGAAGCACCCCGTCATCAATCTAGAGAGGCCTGTGAAGAGGAAGACTACGCAACCTTCACAGCAGGCCCCCCCAATGTGTCCCGCGACCTTGAAATCATGTGGGATGCTGCTGATGATTCACCGGGGCAAAAATAACACTCGTCATTCCCCTATGTAAATGACCTGACATCTGTTTCACACCAGCAACACTCTCAAATAGCTGACCCCTCAACATGCAGGAAAATAATCAATGGCCCGCTCATGAATTCATTAATGGATAATATCACACCGGAGATTGCAGAGGGCTTCCTAATTGCAAAAGGACGGAAGCAGGCACCGAAAAAGTGATGCTATTTTAAACTTTAAAAGCTCTTTAAAATTGAATATCACATTTGTCTTTGATTGTGTGAGTCTTACCTTTGCGCAAAGTCGTTAAAGGCTCCAGTACTCCCTTCTTAAAAGCTGAGATGGGATCTTGGACGCAGGACCGCAGACTCAGTGCATTTTGGATATGTGGCTCCTGGACCAGTAGTTCTCTGTAAGGGGTGAGCTGTGGTGCTCTGGCCAGCAGGGCGGCGACACTGTGCACAAACTCTGGCACCAGGCAAGTGTATGTGTTGTCAGCCTGACAGAAATGATAAGCCACCACCTGGAAAAAGAACAGACAATTAGACTTAGACAAACTTTATTGATCCACAAGGGAAATTATTTGATTAGACTAATTTACATGAATTATTGTTTGGAAGTGAAAAAAAATCCAAGTAGGCATTACATTTTTTTCAGGTATGATATGACTAGGGTACTAGGAAACAAGGAAACGGAAAGCCTCTTATATAGAGAAGACAACGCAAACTTTATTAATTATGTTTGACTATGTTTGTAATTATATTTTATAGAGCAAGAGTCTCTAACCACTGTACCAGGGGACCAGAAGAAAAATATGATGTAACTTTTCTACTAACAAGTTATTTTCTCAACAAAGGTTTGAAAGAAATTGTATATTTTAGTACTGGTCCTTATGTGAAAAAAAAAAAAAAGAAAAAAAAAAGGGAAATAAAGACCCAACAAACAAAAAGTGAAATATGTTTCAGAAAATCTGAGGTTGCAGAGTCACGTCATTTGTTGTGAAAAGAATCTCGGGGTGAGACTACACTTGTGCTTGTACAGTAACAAAAATAAGCTGATTTGTTCCGACAGCTGCTGAGAGGTGAACAGGTCTTAACATTAACTACTGTGATCTTAAATGTGGGAGGGAAACAACAGAGTCACACAAATGGGCACTCAATGTCCTGCTGATCTAATGCAGTCTCTTTCACAATAGTGTCATTGTTCAGATAATTTTACTCCAGTGAGTCTTAAGTGAGTCTGTGTATACACGGTCCATGGTAGGTTTTCTATCAAACAGAAATGTACTGTTCAACCTTCTTCCATCTTATTGAAAACATAGAAAGGTATAAAGAGCAGGGTGTCAGGATCACTACAATTTTACTGTGTGTTGATAGGACCAATAATTCCGGAGAAATTCACATTTAAAGTTTGGAATGCGTTTGTTAAGACTAAATTCTCACACACATGCACGCATGCTATCGCTATCAACATATACACACGTGATGTCCGTCTGCTAAATCAGGACTTAAGTTTCACTCATAAACGGTGACAAAATAGTTAATCACTTTCTGTAACTTGGATTATTATCATCAGAGGCAGAAGAGGAGAGAAAGAGGAGAAAAGGTGAGGAGCTGGATCAGAGAGGGAGGGGGAGTGGGGGAGTGAGGCAGACGGCTCTTCACACACAGAGGCAGAGAGAAGGAGACACTGGACTTTTAGTCAAATTGTGAGATTTAAGTCAAAATCTGTGAAACATGAGGAATCGTGGGGATACCGAGATGTGCTGTACCCCTGACTGCTTTTTCCTAAACAAGACAGTGTTAAGTCCTGTCAGCACCTCACACTCTTACAGCCAAATGATTGGTGCTAGAATTGTCGATTAAAATGCACGTGCCTTATCATCAAAATCACCCAAATCAGAAATAGTGATCTATCGATCTTATGATTTCTGGCACAGCCCTATTTGAAATACAGTTACTTTCATGCCATTGAAAATGAGACTGGTTGACTGCGGTAGTAATTTTGCAACATGTAGTGCTGTCCTAGTCTTAAATTAGTCTAGTCCGCATGTCGAATGATCATTGATTTTGAGTGAACATCTTCCATCACCAGTCTCACTAGTTCCCATGGAAACTCTTATTGAGGCCAAGTTAGTAAATTTAGCAGCTTCCATGTCATCTCTGTGATGCAATCAGCAGCATGCTCTACATGTGCCCAGAGAGAGCAGGGACACTCAGTTTTGTGACCCTTTTAATCACTTTCAAAGTATTATAGAAATAATAGACTACATTCTTGAATCTATCTTAAGAAACTGTGAAGCAGGCTGCCCCCCCACTGTCCACCCTCTTTTCCCTCAGCTGTTTGTTTGTATACTCAAAGGCTGCAATCAAAAAATACACATTAAAATGTACATTATGGAAACAGTAATTGTGCAAGACTGATTGTGGAAGATTTATTAATATTTCTGTCTTTTGTCTGTTTAACTGCATGAGGCGGTAACCACCTTAGCAACAGCATCGATCTCCTCTTCTGTTTAGAGGAGCACTGTCTTTGATCAAGGCCACAGACTGCAGCAGAATCTCAAAGTGTTTCTTTTGTACTTCATGGGAAAATAATACTATAAGGAATGGAGTTATAAGGTACATAAGTTCAAAAGAATTCAAAAGCTATTTCTGTTATTAAATGCTTTTATAAACTTTTTTGAGTATTATTCAAAGTGTTTCTTGTTTGTGATAAACTACTGTAGAAGCCATTATACCATATATACAAACAAAGGAGAGTCTTGCTCTAGGTTTGTGTACAGATATCACATCAGTGCTTTATTTCTAAATAATTTTTGAGTTGATTATTAAAGTCCCCATATTACGCTATTTTCTGACCTGTTATGTTGCTTCCTCATCACAAACATACCAGGAGTTGTGTTTTGTTTCACTCATACATGTTTAACTTACAAACTGTGTATATTTAGGCTCCTTCTTCTTTCAAACAGAAAACACTCTGTTCCACCTTGTGATGTCATGTGATAATACAGGAATTGCTTCACTGTATTTTAAAACTCCATACACCTTCACTAAAATAACTTGGATCATTTCACACCTGGAATTGCCAATCAGAGGATTGAAACTGAGCATTTTGGGCTTTGGAGATGTAGACAGAATAATAATGAGTCAAACAGACTGGTTTTAGTATCAATTAGTATCTGATTCTTGATACTTTTGACAACCCTACTTTAAATGAGAATCAATTCATATAGGAGGGAGTTTTGAAATGGTTAGCCTGGGAAAACATGCCAAAACAGTTACAAGAATATGCGCACAATTTCAGTGGTTTCAGACATTAGCTAGATCAATCAAAAATAATTCCTTTATTCGTTATCTGTCCTTTATCTCTCCCTAACACCCAGAAATCGACAACAGAATGCACCAGAAAGTGAACGAAAACAGAGGTCATAAAAGTGATGCTAATAGAGAATAATTTGTTGAGAAAACAATTATTACCTAGTTTTATATTTCTAAATGTATTCATATGCCTTTACATAAATATAATCTTCTAAGCCAGGCAGTAACAAAACCCCATAGTCAAAAATGTTTAATATTGTATCTCCATTTTTAATTTGTCCATTATGTAAATTTCCACATCGTGAGACAAATAAAGGTTCTCTTATCTCATAAAAGCCCTGGTGTATAGAATTTCTAACCAATTATTTTCATATTATCATCTAGTAGTTCATGGATCCAAAAAATGACTCAGGCTTTCTGCTTGGATCAGCCAGATGGCCCACTGTTGTTATTTGTTGACTGTTGGAGCAGCACTGATTCATGATTAAGGTGGGACCATCTAAACTCCTCTGCTTTTGTGGGGGCTCATCCCTGCAGAGTGACCTGGTAGTTATTTGATTATATTACGTTTAACATAATATAAGACCAAGTCAACAGGGTTTCCAGGTGAAGTAAGCTGTGAAAACACAGCAGCAATCTTAAAGGCTGTCTGTCAATCAACACTAAATTGCTTATGTATATTCCTGTCACTGTAAGCATCGTGTAAGGACATCCTGGATACTACCAGCAGGTCGTGAGTATAACAAAAGACTGACCTTGGTAGAGATTACTCACAAAGTAATCTCTGCCAAGATAATGTTCATATTAAAGAAACATGGTGAATCACCCGCTCTGAAAACTGAACTGAGTATGAATATGTTTCACAATATGGCATTAAACTTATCTGTCTCAGTGGTGACATGTTTTCCATTCTTTCAGCAATAAAAACATCTGCACTGTATAAAAGCGAGTTTAATGCCATATTTTGGACAATTCTGTATCAGTGGAGAGAAGCAGGTGATGGACCCTATTAAACCAGCAGTGGTTATTACATCCATCTGGTCAGAGATTCTGTGGTGTAGCAAGCTATTCCCTATCTAAAAATGCTTCTCATCTATGTCATTTGCTTGAAAAGGGAAGGACAGAAATGTTTCTAGTGTGTCCCAATACATACATAACATACTTTTCCATATATGTATATAACTTATCTAGAAGTATCTTAGGGAAAACTGTAAAACCTTGAGCTATGGTTGATGTTACACTCAGCTGTGGCTTTGTGAATACAGTTTACATCTCAAAAGCTTTCAAACACAACATGCATTAGAAGTACACACTCTGTGCTGATGTACCTTTGCAGTGAGTGCTCTGACAGCCTCCTTTCTGCCTTCACTGGCTCCAGCGCTGAGGTTGGACTGGGACTCTGGTTTGGATCCTGATTTAGAGTGTTTATCTCCACCTGCACGCAGCCCAAACAACACACAAAGCTGCCATTTACACTTGTTAGAAGAAATCTCCACCATCAGTGTTGTCATTTAATTAGTGCGCAACTTGAAAACTCGACATCAAAAGCTTGTCAGCTGGCAAAAACAGTGTTATTATTTCACTATGATCAGTAATTTGAATTTCTTTGGACGTCAAGTCACAGCACACCTTCTGTTCAATGTAAATCAAAATGACAGACCAGAAGATATTAATGAATAATGCAGTGATGCAGGACAAGTTAATGGCACGACGAGCTTGTACTGAAAAAGCAAACTGAGTAAAGGTTTCTGCACTTGATGTTACGGGTGGGTATCATTTATGAATTCTAAACAATAATTTTAAGTATCATTCACTAGATTCAGTATTTTGTAGGAGTTTTAATGAGAGGAACTTTTTATTTTCTTCTAATGACACAAATGTTAAAAGCGATGAAGTAGGGCGCACGAACCATCAACAGAGATGAGGGGGGATTTACCTTGGCTCACATACTGGACTCACTTCTTCAGAGACCACCACCTGATGGTAGGTGTAGTCAGTCTGATAGATCTGCAAAATCTGTCAAACTGACCACGCCTGAGAACAACAGCTGATAAGAGACACGTCACAGCAGTCGCTTGACACCTTTGATGAAGGTGCAAGTGCAACCGCCAAAACATGTCAGGTAAATAAGCTAAAAGAAAACATGGTGTTTCTACATAAAAAGAGCATAAATATACAAGTATAATGATGGTCAAAATATCAACTAAAGACTCTACTTGTATTAGTGTTGGGACTGATGAGTAACTTTCCAAAACACTGTCTTAAGATCCAAAAATGTGTACCAGTTCTTGATACACATTTTTATTGTGCCAGTAGTACCTTATTATCTTTTTCTTTTGTCACTACTTGTTACATTTGTAAGCAGCATGACAGATTTGGTGTCACCTGGCTTTTTAAATAATACCAATGATTTCACGAAAACATCTCAGATTGGTTACTTAACCTTGCAGTATAATTCAGCGTTTGATTTTATTGTTTTTAAATTATTTTTTGGACAAAGTTGCAGCAGCAGAAGTGGCACCACTCATGTAAAAAGGGGAACAACAAACTCCCATCGCTCACACAAGTGCAATCAGCACACCGAACCTCAGGGGACGACTTGAAAGAAGAGAGCATGACCCAGTTACACCCTTGTCCCAAAAAGTGCCAGACCTCACAGCACAGTTTAGGGAGCAGACATTCAAGTTTTTTAACCACAAAAAGCCAGTCCAGTCTTATTTTTACACTCTTCTGTAGTAGAAATCTATCTGGAATTGACAACTTTCAATCCAAGCACAAGTGCTAAGAAGCTTTACTGCTTCAAGTAAATAACTGTAACATACTCACACAATACAATCAATCACAACTGAAGATGGGCTCCATTAACTGTCATGAATGGATGTATTGAATAGATAACAAACATAGGTAAGTGGTTTATGACTGAATGAGAACCAAATCATGAACATTTAACATCATGTAAAATGCTTTTGTAATGGTGAAAAAAATCAACATTACAACTGATCAAAATCCATATCTGAGGAGATTGAGGATACTATATGCCAAATGAACAGAACAGAGATAAATTATGTTTTAGTCAACTGGTTTTCAAAACTCAAGACTACAAGACACAAATATGCTAATGACTAAACTTGAATGTAGGATTTTTATTGTTTAAGAGTCTGGATTTGATGAAACAATACTGAGCCTCTGTAGTGTTAATTAAATGATTTTGTTATTAAATTGCTACTAACAAAAAGTCACACTACAGAGCATGAATGTTTTTGACCTACATTTAGGTGATGCTCCTGGGCTGTGGGGCATGTTTGTCACTGCCTGTGGTGTGCGGTGGCCATGACAGCTGAGATTGACGAGCTGCCAGATGATCGCAGTCTTCCCTGATCCAGCGTTCCCCACGATCACCGCCCCACGCCCCTCACAGCTGCTGCTCTTCTTTAGGACCTCCTCCAGACGGACAAACAGCCAATCGCGGCCCACAAACGGAGTCTCTGCTGTCATCCCCGGGACTTCAAATAACAAGGGCTTCAGCATGATGTCGGCTTGTTTGAACAGAGCCAGTTTACCTGAATAGAAAAAGATGAAATATGAAACTTTTGTGGTGGGTGGTCTGCCACCAGCCAGTTTCCAGGGAGATGTTACCTGAAGACCTGCTTGTCTTCATGGAAATGTTATTGCTTTGTTTCATAGATTAAACCTGCTATCTATCAGGAGGGAGACAAGCAAGTTACAGCAATATTCTACATTATAAATCAGATCTGAGGAGAGTCACCTCTATTCACAGAAGAAATTATTGTATTTCTGAACAATAGAAATACCTGTAATGAATAAATGCTAGATGTATATGCTTAAAGACATACCAGGGAACATCCAGATAATGCAAAGACATCTCCATGAAGACAAGTAAGTAGCGGATCTTCCACCACAAAAGTTGCACAGTGCATATTTAAAAATACAAGTTTTCCAAGGTATTGTGCTGTAAAACACCCAAAATGAAATAGATTCTAGGTGTGTTTAATGCCATACTAAGGAACATTCCAGGCAAAGCAATAACACCCCCAGCAGGTGGCGGACCTCCCACCAGTGAAGTTACATAGTGCACCTTTATTAAAGAATGAAAAAATATCTCAAAATTCCAATCCATACAGCCAATATACATACACAAAATCAACCTAGATCTAACAAGGTTCTTGCAAAGTAATACACTGAAATAAAATAAAATCTGTAAACAAGTCAAGGCTTATATTTTCAAGCCAGACTTTTTTTTTTTTATCTTGTAGTTGAACATCAATCATACGCTGCCCAAAGTAGAGTACACTGCATTTCAATAAAAAGTGTTACAGAAGTGCTAGCTCGATCAAAATCACCTCTCAGCCCTCATTCATAAAAAACACGCAAAAAATAATAGTAAAGGCTGAGAGCTGAAGTGGGAGCTGTCTCGTTAGTCATGTGTGAGTTGTTTAGGACATGTAGTGTAGTGTTACTCATTCAGACTTCACAGATGTTTCACTGCGCTATATTTTCTCATTTTAACCCCGGGACAAACCCCAAAATACCTTTAGATTCGTCATTTGCACGCCCAGCTGTGTGATGTTTGCGAACAGACGCTCGATGTCCCGCGGGCCGCTGATTGTCCAGAAAGCTCAGATCCTCCAGTCTGGTGGTGCTGGTTGCTGAAACACAAAATGTACAATTATTTAGCACGATACATGACATTTAGCAATCCTTCATAATCTTTTTTCAATGACCACACCCCCCTCTGCTCGTTTTGGAGACTTGGCATGCTCCTAAATCCATAGAGAATATGTGCAATTTATTCACATTTTATTTTACATGAGATATGAATATGAACATAGACAATTGACTACAGTCTCTCACAATTGAAACTCAGATAAATAAACTGACCTTGATGTAAGACAAGGCACGGAAAAACAAACAACACTGCAAATATGATATGAAACAAGAGCAGCAGATGACATTGTCAAAATCAATCAGTTTTTTCACGTGAATAACATTGTTGTTATGACCATATAAACAGCAATTGTCATTGTCAGTGTCATTCATTGAGTCCTCATTTAACCTGGTCTTGTTCCTTCGGGCATGCTGCAGTGTACGGCATTTTAAGGGCCCATATTATGCTATTTTCTGATCTATGTCACAATGATGTACTGTATCTTCATCAAAAACATATCCAGAGTAGTGTTTTGTTTCATTCACACATGTTGTACACACAAATCGTGCATATTTAGGCTGAGTTCTTCTCTTAAACAGAAAATAATACTCGGTTCCACCAGGTGATGTCATGTGGTAAAACAGGAAGTGCTTCGATGTGTTTTTAAAGGGCATACACCTTTACTAGAATAATTTCGATCATTTCAGCCCTGGAACTGCCAATCTCCTCTAAACTAAAGGCAAAACATTGCTGTTAACTTGAAAACAATTACTGTATGACAGCATTTTTTGCTTTGGAGATATAGGCAGACAACAGAACAAACAGGATTACACATGTGAATGAAACAAAACACAGCTCCAGTTATGTTTCTGAGGAGGTAACAGCCTTTTATACAACAACCTATAACCCTTAAATTAATGCATGAAAGGTAGATTTGTGAGCCCTAAGCACTGCATATTTTTCTATATCTTTTATATACTGACATGAGCGTGTATGTAATGCAGTAAAGAACATAAGGAAATGAGGCTCCCACACTGGCCCATCTTCCTCCCACTCACAATAAAGAGTTTACAGGTCAGCCAAGAGCAACTGGCACAGAGCTTAAGATATTCAACTCCAGATTCAAGCAGTCTTTTGAGACATAAAGCATTCCGATGTTGGACAAAATATATATATAAAAAAAGTTGTAAAAAGTAGGGTTTATATAAGGTTAGCGGATCCACATATGTTGGTAATGAGGCCTGAACTGAAGAAATGGGACAAGCACATCACATAATCTTTTGGATTGACTGGTAGAACGGTTGTTCCTTGTATTTTAGTGATGGTAAGTGTAGAGACAAAATATGCAATAATGGCACCACTGACGTCCTTCATAGATATTAGTTGTGTCATGGTTTTTGTTTGGTTGTCATTGTTTTGCATATTTCGGTGTGTCTCTTTCCTTTAGTTTATGTTCTTGGTGTTTTCATTTGACATTTGTCCTATCTGCTTGTATTATACTTTTTGTCATATATACCCTGTGTTCTCATTTGTTGGTTCGTTGCTAGTGTCATGTCTTGTAAGTTCTGTTTTGTATTTTTATATTTGGTTACTTCTGGTCTTAGTTAAAGGTGTACTGCGTAACTTTTCGGTTGGGTATGTGTCACCTGCTTGTTTGTATGGATATGTCATTGCTCTGCTTGGAATGTTCCACAATATTATAGCTCAAAAATACCTTAAAAAAAAAAATAAAAATTCTGACTGTGAGTGGGGGTTGCCTCTACACAGATCTGACCAGTAACTTGGTCTGGTTTGGTCTCCATAAAGATAGAAAGGTTTCTCTACCAGAAAAGTTACCCAATGCACCTTTTAAAGTTTACATTAAAAAAACTTTTCAAGTGCTTCCTGCATTTTGGGTCCTCCCTCTGTTGACATGTTGTTTTGACCTAATTTCTAAGTACTCTTTCTTCTGTTAATCTGAAGTCCAAACATCAAGAAAGAATGTGTCTGTTCAGTGTCAGTCAGTGGTTTAGTACAGAACTAGTTTGGATTTTATTACTTCTACCATTGAAATGTAAATTTACTGAACACTGGAGGCATATTTATTCACAGTGTGCAGTCAGTATAACTTAATATGTTTCCCATGAGTGCGTTGGTAGCCAAACTTTGATAAACCAAAGCATGAAAGCTGTATCTAAAACTAAAAATGTGTGAAATAAAAGGTGAAATCGTATCAGCAGTGGAGTTCTGAGTCCTTGAAGTGAAAAGCCACAAGCAATCAGAACTCGGAAAAGAGGAGAAGAATGTCAGGTCAGGACAGATGGTGCAACAAATCAGTTTTTACAGTTTTTATAAAAAATGTTTTTGAGAGTTTGAATAGATTGAGTTAGTAATGGGGTCATAAGAAGGACAGGTGTTTTCGAGATAAAAATCAGCAGGCCATGGCCAAACAGAAACCTAGAAAGTAGTGGGTGATGTAATATGGCTAATAAACACATATACATAATAACTAAGAGCCTATATAGATTGTAAATTTGATTTGATCATGATTCATGCACACAAGGCTTAATATTGCCTTTATTAAGAGTAATTAAAGCTGATTGAAAATTGCTTCACACTTCACTGTGATTTCTAAAATACACCTGTCACTCACACAAAAAAATATGATGAAGGCTGACCAATCCAAGTTGAAGTTTAAAGGTGCACTATGTAACTTTTTGGTTGGGTATCTGTCACCTGCTTATTTCTATGGATATGTCATTGCTCTTCCCGAAATGTTCCACAATATGACATTAAATAGCTCTACTTTACATTTATTCAATTACAGATGGTTTTATAGCTCAAAGATACCTAATAAAACAGGCATTCTTACTGTGGGTAGGGTCGCGACCCCATAGATCTGACCCGTAGCTTTGTCTGGTTTGGTCTCCATGAAGATAGAAAGGTTTAATACAAAACTGTGAAATATTCCAGACAAAGCAATAACATCTCCACGAAGAAAAGGATTTGATGAGAACCATCCACCAGAAAAGTTACACAATGTTCCTTTAATCTGTAGCCAATCCTCTGTTAGAAAAAGCATGTGGTATGGGGTAGAATTACGACTTTGGAGGAAAAAATATGACAATTATTTCTGTTGTTGGCAATTAGTCTGTATTGTTTGGTTAAAAAGAGATACAATAAATTGAATAAAAACTTGTGATTTATCTATTTTTTGTCTAAAAGGGGTAGCATTTTAGTATACAATAAACAGAACAATTCTAAATCCTGACACTGCAATTTCTCCATATTGTCTCCACACATAAACATATTGAATACCTCTATAAGAAGGAATAATATATATATATATATATGTATGTATATATATATGTATATGTGTGTATATATATATATGTATGTATGTATGTATGTGTGTGTGTGTATATATATATATATATATATATATATATATATATATATATATGGTGTAGAGGATGACCACAGAGGGGATTTATGGATGCAGTAAAAGAGGACAGGAGGCTAGTAAGAGTGGGAGAGAAAGACACACAAAATTAGTTTAGATGGAGCTAGATTACTTGCAGTTGCACAAAATGAGAATGCTGAAATAACAACTTTAAGATCCAATTTAGGAGTGGGCGATATGTCAAATTAAATTACAATTTTCTTGGCTCTACCTAGTCCCCCAAAGCTTGACGAAGGATGAAAAGAAGGAAGAGTGAGGGGAGGGAATATAATATGACTCTGTTTTGAGCATAAAACATTAAAGATAAAAGCATGAACACAGATATAACAGCCTCTACAGGTTGGTAGGTTGTCCTCGTGTCATATCATGAGTCTATTAATATCACCGTATGGCCCATTCCTTTATCCAACTGTATGGCAACAGACAAGCACAGCAGAATATGGACACTAAAATATTCAGAGCAAAGTAGATTTGTCAGGATTGAAACTAGACACTCACTTGAGCAGCTATTGATACTAAAAAAAGTCACAGAATAGAAATTAATGTTTTCTGAATAGCTTTAAAACAATCTTGAGCTGTATCAGAACAAGTTTAAGTTTCACCCATGCACCACTATGAAACCTTCCTGGACAACTGAGGGATTACATAGATATAAAACCACATGGCAATATAAAAGAAAGTACTATGATTTAATGTTGAAAATGAAGAAGCGTTTTTACTGTCATGACAAAATAGAGTGTCAAATATGGCTTCACTTTAGTTGGGTTAGGGTTGTGTTTGAGTATGCTTTTATACATAGCAAAACGGTTAAGTATTTACAGAATAATTTGGGTAATTTATGAACACAGGCAACACTGAAAATGCCCATGCAGTCATCTTAGAATTCCCAACCCAATGTTTGAAAATAAATAACCTAGATTCCTGGCATGTGTCCCCTGGTAGTTTGTAGCCCCACATTCATTTTACACAAACTAGATGTTTTTTATGAAATAACATTCTCGAATAGCATCTCACTGTGGATTTAAAAACATAATTACAGTTTAAACATAAAAAACATGATTGTGGATTTTCTGAATGGCATCTTGGCCATTCATTATTTCTGAAACATGAAAAACCCCATGAGAAATCTGTAAATCTGGTATTACTGCCGCGTGTAATCCTTTCAGAGTGGGATAAAAACGCACTGAGCCTCCGGTGTAAAATGCCACAGCTGCAATGAAATGACCTGCGAACGGCCATAAGACACCCTAAACACTATAATAACACACTGTACACTGTGTATATAATGGGGTAGATCCATTAATGTTAGCAGGTTATAGCTTCATACCAATTATTATCACAACTAGGTGTGTCACAGTAAGAAATTTTGAAGAATGATATGTTGCTAGAGATATATATTGTTATAAACGATAATATTGAAACTACTTCATACCACAGACACAAAGACAGTTAAGCAGTTTTTATATATACAGAAACATTAAAGGCACGCTGTGTAACTTTTCAGTTGGGTTCCATCAAATGTTCTGTCTCAAAGGTTCCACTCTATGACAGTAAAAGCT